ATATATATATATATATTTATTTATTTATTTATATATAGTTTTAAAAGAAAGTTTATATTATGGTGTAAATTCTCTCAGACAAATACATTTAGTTTATCTGGTTTCTCTTGGGATTTGCTGTGAATTCAGTAATTTTCCTTTTTGAACTGAACAATGACTTGAGCAGTGATGACGGCTGCTTTGTGGAAAACAGATCTTTTCAGTGTGGGCAATAATTATAATTATTGTGTGGGCAATGAAAAGATGAACAAATGGCTGTTAAGACTGAGCGTGCTCTGTTCTGATTCTCAGAAAGCTTGAGGTCTCTCTCGATGACATTAAGCAGCTAAAGACCAGGGATTGACCCCTTACTCTTAATATAGCTCCTAGAGAGAGTTTGTCACAGCCTTAAAGCAGTACTAGTTAAATTCCATCATACTGACATGATATTCAGTGATTCCCATGTTTAGAATGAGCTGTCAGGCACTTGATTGCTTTTCTTGCTCTCTGTATATTGCCACTTGCGGTGTATGGTAATATTCTCTTGGGAAAGAGCCTCACTTGCTTCATAAATCAAGGCAGATTTTGTTGACTTCCGTTCCCAGCACTCCCTGCTCTCCATTCAGGGTGTTACCATGGAGAATAGATCATTCAGATCAGGTCTGAAAGCTGTGTGCTGATATTCGCTGCCACATTTTCCCACTCTCTTTTTCGTCCTCTTTTAACTCATTCCTTCGCTCTTAAAGTTGACATGAAATGGAAATTCAGCCTATTTTCTAAATGCTTGTTATTGATCTAATTCGGAAAAATTCATTCATGTTTCACAACTTTCATTCTGAAAAAAAAAGAATTGAGCTTATACCTTTTAATAAAATGTGATAGCTCTTGAAACGTCAGAATCCTCTCTGGTGATGTACGCTGGGCTTCTCCAATCATTCAGGCTGCTTAAACTCCGCCCCTTTCTTACAGTTAAAGGGTTAGTTCACCCAAAAATGAAAATTCTGTCATTAATTACTCGCCCTCATGTCGTTCCAAATTCGTAAGACCTTCGTTCATCTTCTGAACACAATTTAAGATATTTTTGATGGAATCTGAGAGCTCTCTGACCCTCCATAGACAGCAACACAACTGTAATGTTCCCAGGTCCAGAAACGTAGTAAGGACATCGGTAAAACAGTCCATGTGACATCAGTGATGCAACTTCAATTTTGTGAAGCTACGAGAATACTTTTTGTGTGGAAAGAAAACAAAAACAACATCATTTATTTAACAAATCCTCTGCAAATCTAAAACTAATAAATACTATGTAGACATATTTAAAAACAAAAACTAATAAAAATGACAAAAACACTACACAGTTACTAAAACAGTAACTAAAATGAAAGTAAAAATATAAAAATAATTCTAAATGAACGCTGGACAGAAATACAAACCTTGCAACTGAAATTGTTAGAAAAAAATGTTGTTTGTTTGTTTGCTGCTTTATCGTATTGTGCTTTGTGTTAACAGAATTATAGAGAAGTATCATTTATGATGGGTCCTACTAATTATTTAGTATTTTTAATCATAATAAAGTTGTTACATTTCAGTTCTGATTAATATTCATGAGCTACATCTTTGTCTTGTCATGTCATTACAACCAGCAGTCCCTCTAGTTCTTATGCGACTTATCCCACCATCACTTAGTTTTTAATAAAAAAATAACACGTGACTCTTTTTTTTTATTGTTCTTCATCTCTGCCTGTTTATATGTGTATTCTTCTTTTGGTGTGTTTGACAGCTGGATGTAAAGGAGGATACGAGCACTCATAAGGATTCAAAAGTGCAGTGTGATGAAGAAGAGCTGAAAAAGTATCAGTTGAACATTCATGTGCGAGAGGTCTTCGCCAACCGCTTCACGCAGATGTTCTCTGACTATGAGGTGTTTGTCATTCAGCCCAGCCAAGACAAAGAGTCCTGGTTCAGCAATCGAGACCAGATGCAGAACTTTGACAAGGTGATGCTTCACTATTCATTTATGAACTTCCCTGCTAGAAAAACTTGTCATGTTGGTTTATTGCCAATGCAAGGTGGCCAACCATTTCTGACCAGTTTGATGACCTCCTATGTTACAAACAGCTCTGACCAACAAGTTCTATTGCTAAAGTTTTATGAATTAAATTGTTTAAAGGGGTCATATGATGCGATTTCAATTTTTCCTTTCTTTTTTGGAGTGTTACAAGCTCTTGGTGCATAAAGAAGATCTGTAAAGTTGCAAAGACTAAAGTCTCAAATCCAAAGAGATATTCTTAATAAAAGAGTCACGCAAAGAAAGAAGGTGTAACTTTTATTCTCGCTGTAGTATTCTTGCCGCCGCCGCCATGTCGTGAAGACACTGTGTGCTTCGTTGTGAAAGCGAAACTACTTTGTTTGGTCTTCCAAAAGAGGACAATATCGCTTCGTCATGCCTGGAGCTGATCCGTGCTGGTAGCTGAGGAAATACTTCAACTTTGCGCTGTCGATCGCCGGATCGGCTTTCACCGTGGACGAATCGTAGTTCAGCCCGGGGTCGTCACATGTGGTTGCCGCAGGCATCAAAGTATGGTAAGGAACGTAACATTTCCGTCTCACGCTTGAGGAATTCGGCCAATCACAACGCACTGGACAGCTGGCCAATCAGAGCACACCTCGCTTTTTCAGACCGATGAGCTTTGTAAAAATCGACACATTTCAGAAAGGCGGGTCATAGAGGAGAAACAATAATGTACAGTATGTGGAAAATAATGTGTTTTTAACTTTAAACCGCATAAATACATTTCATTACACCAAATAAACAAAATTATGTTCTTTTAACAGCATCATATGACCCCTTTAAACATTCTTTTAGATTATAAAAATGTACCCAGAAAAAAAAATACAGAAAACACAGATTTTTGGAAAAAATAAAACTTCTTCTATAGGGTCGTAAGTTTGGAGTAATTAAGTAAGAAGTTTTGGGATTCTGAAACTTCAGCTTCATGGTGTTTGCCATTTCTGAATTCTGTCCGCTGCAGGCCTCCTTCTTGTCGGATCAGCCCGAACCTTACCTGCCATTCCTCTCTCGCTTCCTGGAGACGCAGATGTTTGCCTCTTTCATCGACAGTAAGATCCTGTGCCACGATGATGAGGACAAAGAGCACACACTGAGAGTATTTGATTCCCGTGTTGACAAGATCCGCATGTTAAATGTCAGGACACCCACCCTGCGGACCTCCATGTACCAGAAATGCACCAACATTGATGAAGCAGGTGAGACGGTTTAAAACTAGTGACTATTTTAGAAATGAAACCATTTGGGATACTTGCATGCAAGTGAGTGAACTGAAATGTAACAAATTCAACATATATTTTACTGGTCTTTGAACAATTTTGCATTATTTCATCTAAAATGTTACGGGCATAGTTCAAAAAAATGAAAATCGTCCTCAAGTTGTTCCAAACCTGTCTGAATTTTTTCACAAAAGAAGATATTTTGAAGAATGTGGGTAAGAAAATGTGAAGGAAAAAAATACTACGGAAGTCAATTTGGTTACCAACATTCTTCAAAATATCTTCTTAGATCGGTCAGCTTTAAAATTAAATAAATCGGTTGTCTTTGATTTTTAAATTGTATATATTTAGAAAATCAATTATATAAAATGTAATGTTGTTATTATAATATTAGTGCTGTCCTCCCAAATTAATAACCAAGCTTTTTACCATTTCATATTTATACCAACTGATATCTCAACTTTGTTTACTCGCCAAAGCCAGTTGGTTGCATTTTGCACTTGGCTACTGATAAATATGGACCCAGACGCCTCGCTTTTAAAATGTTACCGGGAAGTTGATCTGTGTTCCTCATGGCGCCTCATTAATAAGAAAATCTATACGTTTCAGCCTAGTAATGCATAGACGGCTCACTCCATGCAACAGTCATGCTGAATTCCTCTTCCTGCAATGCATTATGGATAGGATTTTTTAATCGTGTGCATTACGTTCAGATGTCGTCCATTAGCTCTGCTGATGAAATGGGGACAGTTCAAACATAGTGAGCCAAATGGAAATGTTATTTATTATTAAAATGAATAATGATTGATTAAAAGATGTCCATTTAAAAGCAGTGTTTCTCAACCCTGGTCCTGGGCGCCCCCCAACACTGCTCATTTTGTATGTCTCCTTTATCTGACACACCCATTTCAGGTCCTGGAGTTTCTTCTAATGAGCTAAAGAGTTGAATCAGGTGTGTTTGATTAGGGAGACACAGAATGTGCAGTGCTGGGGGGCGCCCAGGACCAGGGTTGAGAAACACTGATTTAAAGGCTCTCATTTATCTTAATAGAACTCATTAGAAAGTTAGTTTATTGCATTTCATTTATTTTGAAGAATCATTTTTTTTTTTATTGGTGGTGTTTGTTAAGATCATAGACTGTATAAAAACATGGACGTAGTGTCCGTGACGTCACCCGTAGATTTCCGAAGAGTGTTTTTGAAGCTCAAAATGGGCGGAGCGGGCCGTCGCCATCTTGGCAGCGCGTCACTCCCGGATAATCGAAAATGGGCAAAGAGGCGGGAGCAGGTTGCTGAAACCACGCCCACCTAGCTTGATGGTGGTGACAGCAGCGGCAATCCACCTGTCACTCAAGTGGCCACGCCCTTAATTATGCAGAACTTTAAGGCTTAATATAATTTAAACGGATGAGTTATAAAATAATTCACCCCCCTCACAGTTGTCATGAAGGGCAAAATTAGCTACATAGACCAAAATAATTTTTTGAACCAGGCTGTAAACATGTTTTTTTCTGCTGTAAAGTTGGGCATTTTAACATTGCAGCCAGCCTCTAGCGGCCAGTTGATGAATTACAGTTTAAGTCACTTCCTTGTTGGCTTCACAAGAGAGAGCAGGAGGTTGCCGCTTGGCTAAGATGCAAACCTATTTTTGCATCTTATTTTACTAAAAAAAAGTATCATACTTGGATTCAGGGGTTTGCATCTTAGCAAACACAACCAAGTATGCAAAGTATCATAGCTTGCTGAAATATTTTTACCCATCAAGCTGTATTTTGCATTAGTATCTAAAAATGAATTCAATTTCGTTTTTAATATATATATATATTTTTTTTAATGTTAGACATTGCTCAGCTCTCGCGGTAGGATCTCTAATGGCTGATAGATTTTGTGTTGTGTAAGACAAGATATATTTTGAGCATTGCATGTGGGTTCACAGCAGTCTTTCATTCTACCACATCACTAACTCACACCCCTCCCACCATGTGGGTTTTGTGTCTCTTAGATGGGTTCATCATTTCTTTGATGACACCATACGGGGTTTTTGTGATTCATCGATAATATGTGTGTAACTGTTCCTCTCTTGCCACTTTAGAAAAGGCCATTGAGATGAGACTGTGTAAGATCGACCACACGGCTCTGCATCCCCACCTGCTGGACATGAAGATCGGTCAGGGCCGCTATGAGCCAGGCTTTTTCCCCCGCTTACAGTCTGATGTTCTCTCTACTGGACCCACCAGCAACAAGTGAGAATAAATCGCTTGGCTTTTTCTAGATGTATTGAGACATCAATTAATTAAAGCTGCAGTCTGTATCTTTTGGCGCTCTAGCGGTTAATAAACAGAATTGCGTGCGTCCTGCGGAGGAACATTGTAGCCGGAGCTACTTCTCTCGGTTTATGTTTATGACGAATCACGCAGGTACTGGGCTACTCCGCAGCGGTACCTTCCCAAACCAGTCTAAAATAGTCGGAATATAAACACTTATTGTAGGTCAAGTCAAGTCAAGTCACCTTTATTTATATAGCGCTTTTAACAATACAGATTGTGTCAAAGCAACTGAACAGCATTAATTAAGAAAATAGTGTGTCAATAATGCAAAATGACAATCGTAAACACTCATTTTTCAGTTAAAGACAGTTCATCATTCAATTCAGTGATGTCATCATCCAGCTCAGTTCAGTTTAAATAGTATCTTTGCAATCATTTGCAATCAAGTCAATGATATCGCTGGAAATGAAGTGTCCCCAACTAAGCAAGCCAGAGGCGACAGCGGCAAGGAACCAAAACTCCATCGGTGACAGAATGGAGAAACCAGGCTCAGTCGGGGGGCCAGTTCTCCTCTGACCCGACGAAACCAGCAGTTCAATTCCAGGCTGCAGCAATGTCACATTGTGCAGAGGACTCATCTGGTTCCTGTGGTCTTGTCCCGGTGGTCGTCTGAGACAAGGTGTAGGTGTACCGTAGTGTTTCAGGACAAGCTAAAAACACGATTTGGAAAGTGGATTCATGCTTATTGTATAAATTTTGTAAATTTTTAACACAAAAAAAGTTACGGACTGCAGCTTTTAGTAACTAGTGCACAAATGCTCTCAGGGCTGTTGATGCTGGCACGACATGATTCAATTGGTCATGTTTTCTATGATCAACATCATTTGTTGGTTTCCTAAAATATGACATAAGTCTAGTAAGATTCAATCCTGTGAGTCAGTGCTTCTGAACTTCCCTTTTCAGTGAATTGATTCAAACTATCAACAATTAGTTTGGCACTAAAAATGTTGCCCTGTGTATATGTATGCCAATATATGTAGGAAAATAATTATATTTTTGACTGTTTATTGGTATGTAGAGAGACTCTTATGTATTGTTTTAAATATTTGGAATCTGCCACAATGACTGATTTATTTAAATGATGGTAGCAACTCAAAATGGTTCATCAAAAGCTATTTCAGAGGAAAAAAAATACAGAGATATATATCAAATATCTCCAGAAGGCTTAAAAATATTCGATCATATTATATCATATTAAGGTTGTTTGAAGACCAGCAAGGATGCTGATCCAAGAAGTTGTCTTGCTTGGGTAAATCAAGCGTCGAGACCGGTTCTCGTCATCCAAATGCAAACTTTGGTGGCCAGTTTGTGATTTTAGTTTTAATCTAATGCTGTTGTTGTTGTGTGTTAGATGGGCGAAGCGCAGTGCACCAGCACAATGGCGGAGGAAGGACAGACAGAAACAACACACTGAACATCTGGACAATGACCAGAGAGAGGTATGGACAGAATGCAAAATGAAATATAAATTGTGGCTACATATGAATTTAATTTTTATTTATAGAATTTATTTATTGATTATATTTATATGTATATCTTTTTTTTACCATTTTTGAAAGAAGTCACCAAGCCTAGAAAAATACAGTAAAAATAGTAACATTACATAATATTATTACAATTTAAAATGATGTTCTGTTTGAATATATTTTAAATACAGTTCATTTCTGTGAAGGCAAAGCTGAATTTTCAGCAACCATTATTCCAGGCTTCAGTGTCAAAAATCGTGTTCTTGATGCTCAAGAAACATTTCTGCTTATTATCAGTGTTGAAAACAGATTTTGCTGCTTAATATTTTGAAAACTGTGATAAACTACCATGCAAATGTTTGGGGTAAGTATGATAAAAAAATATATATAATTAATACTTTATTTTCAGCAAGGATACATTAAGTTGATCAAAAGTGGCAAAAAAAGACATTTATATTACAAAGAAATTCAAGCAAATGCTGTTCATTGAACTTTCTATTAATCAAAAAAAAGTATCACAGTTTTTTCAACAATATTAAGCAACAAAAATTCATATTTGAGTACCAAATCAGTATATTAGCATGATTTCTGAAGGATCATGTGACACTGAAGACTGGAGTAATGATGCTGCAAATTCAGTTTTGCATCACAGGAATAAATCACATTTTAATATATATTCAAATAGAGAACCGTCTTTCTGTCTTTGTAATAATATTTCACAAAATGCAGCCTTGGTGAACATAAGACACTTCTTATAAAAACATTCAATCTTAATTATTCCAACATTTTTGGCTGATAGTATACTCATAATAAATATGTGTTACATATATATATATATATATGTATGTGTATGTATATATGTATGTGTATATGTGTGTGTGTGTAAGCAGCAAAGTGATCAGCATACATATAATTTCCTTCAGTACTATATTTTTGGTGTACAGTATTATATACAGTACAATATTTTGGTCACAAAATAATCCATTCACGTTATTTCACAGTTTAATATTATTACTATTACCATTTGTTATTACCACCTGTTTCCAAATTTTTGACTGGTAGTGAACATGTTTTGCTAGTTTTGTACATGTTTTGCTAGTTAGTTTCTGAATGTTTTCTCCTATTCTTTATTTTTCTTTATACACTCTGTTGTTTTATTTTCCATTGTCATTTATTTTATAGTTTCTTTCATAGCATGATTAATGTGTTTCTTTTGTTTTTGTTCGTTATCTTTCTCTTCTTGGATCTCTTTTCCTCACCCCTCTTTTTTCACACTTGTCCGTCTCTCTCTTGTCTTCCTCTGTCACACACACACATACACACACACACGCACACAAAAACCCACACTCTCAGCATGTGGAGTGTCTGTTTTCTGAGCTTCAGCTTCTGCTGGCTCTGGACTACTACTGGTTCTCGCAGTCCTTCAGGCCCTGTCTAAAGTCCGTCAAGGTGGATGTGGTATGTGTTAGATAAGAGATCAGGCCACTTCTCAATCTACCCACTTTGACATTCCCCACATACCAAAAGAAGATGAGCTTGAGCCCTCATCCCCATCAGTGTCTGTAGCTTCCTGTTTTTGACACTTTTGTCAAATTCAAAATGAAATCTCTCCCCTTATGTGTTTTATTTGGTCAGTGAATACAATTCAGCCAAGATGTGAATTTATATTTAATGCAGAAAAAACTAGGTCTGGGTCTTATTACATTAAAGGTGCTGTATGTAGGATTGACACCGAGTGGTAGAACTAGGTATTGCAGTCAAAATTCTAAATATTGGAGAGGGTTTTTTTCACCTAGCCCCTCCTCCTCAGACTTGATGCACACGCAGGTTGCCAGATTGACGACACCAACAGGAACGAGCGCACTTGACGATGAATGAAATGAAACACGCTCTGTTTTCCACCAACTGGCAACCCGGGGTGACGAAATACAATTGGATAAACTGGCAGTGGGCGGGTTTCACAAACCAAAACAGAAACGGACATTCCGGCCCGGAACGCACATTTTCAAAGGAGAATAACTGACTGTAGCATTGTTTTTCAGATAAACAAGTATGTTAGCTTAGCATGTTTCTTAAATATCTGCAAAAATATTATGGTATTTTTATGCTTTAGTAGAGTCAAAAACTTACATACAGCACCTTTTTATTTTATTTCTATAATATTATTTTTATTACAATTAAACTCATTTAAATCCCTCTACTTCATTTGTCAGGACCATCCGTGGACCATCTTTATATTCATTTAGGATCCTTTTACTGTGCTTTTGTGTGATTTTAGACAGTGCCAGTCCTCATTTATTGTAATTTTATGGAAAAACACCAGAACAGCCTTTAAAATGTGTCTTTAATTTGTGCCCCACCGAAGAAAAGTCACGTGGGTTTGGAAAAAGTATAGCCTTAATTGCCATTAAAAAAAAAAAAATTCATAAAATTTTAATGGTCCTAAAAATAGGTTTCATTTTTTTTTTTTGGTACGCATATATTATTTTTTATTTATTTCAGTTTGACTTTTTATTTGATTGTTATTTCTTTTTCTTAATTTTGTGGTTAATTTAATTTAACACAATACCAAGATTTAAATGTTTAGAAGTGTAGGTATTGTAGGTGTTCTATATATTGTAAACCACCTGTGCTTACCGTGGCGTTTAACCCAGTGAACTTGGGGCTATTAAGCCACCAGAACTCTAAATTTAAAGTAACTCAAATGCCACAAGCTACATCAAAGTTTTTTTTGGGGGGCATCATATGACTTTTTGATATTGTCAATGCAGAAGTACATCCAGGAGGCCAGGAACCTGGGCACCACTCTCCGCCAGCCCAAGCTCTCCAACCTGTCACCTTCAGTCATCGCACAGACCAACTGGAAGTTTGTAGAGGGACTGTTAAAAGAGTGCAGAAATAAGGTGCGTGTATTGATCCTCCTCTATATTTGAATTAATAAAACGAGGTATTGATCCATCTGGGTGATCCGGGTAGATCAGGATATAAGCTATAATAGCAACCCCATTTGATCTGGCTCAGACCAAACGCATGCTGGTGGAGAAGATGGGACGGGAAGCGGTGGAGCTGGGCCACGGGGAGGTTAGCATCACTGGTGTAGAGGAGAACACACTCATCGCCAGCTTGTGTGATCTGCTGGAAAGAATCTGGAGCCACGGTCTGCAGGTCAAGCAGGTACATAGACAACATAGACTGGGCATACAATGGGGCATCTCTTATGAATGTGATAATGTGTAATATGGTCAGCTTGTTTGACCAGGTCCTGCTCTGTGTGTTTGCCAGGGAAAATCTGCCTTGTGGTCGCACCTCTTACATTATCAGGAGAGTAAAGAGAAGAGAGACGCTACTCCAGCAGGCCTCGTCCCTCCTGGTAAAATACTAAGATGATACAGCGTTTGCACATTGTAATTCCATACATCTAGCTGCCTACATAGAATTCTTCTTCTGAGGCGGCATGTTAGTCAAAATAGAACAGTGACTGATTTGAAAATCTCTACATAGGCAGCGCAACTCACGTTATCCACACAAAAGATTCCAACTTTGACTGCTAAAAACATTTCAAATGAAAACTATTTTAAAATATGAATACATTCAATAATAGTAAATACAACATTTTAAATATTGACTACAATATAAATGTTTTTTATTTTGTTGCAATGCAGTCTGGGGTATATGTTTTGCCTTAGAATTTTGTAAAAAATTAGGAAAAAAGGAAAAAACTTCCTATGATGCTAAAAGGCTTTCTAGGTAGGCAGCTCTCTAGGGTTTGGATCAGAGGCTGTATAGTGCTTGGCTTTCACTGAAAACATGCTGAATAGGTTTGATTTTTCAGCGTATTTTCCCTGTTTTGTGTCTCAGGCATCATTCATGACACAGAGAGACGGAAGTCAGATGCTGGCTGTGCAATGCCTCCTCTCAAGGTCTCTATGATACAGGACATGAGGTGAGAATTAAACCATTATAGTGTAGAGAAAACAATCACACTACACAGAGAAGTGCTGATGCCGTCGCTTGTACTCTCAGTTTTTGGTTCTGGCAGTATGTTATGAGTGGGTTTAGTCTTACATATTATGTTTGATTATCATACTACCCTTTTTCCACCAAAAGGGTGCTGGTTTTTGTGTCGGGGCCAGGTTCTGAAGTGGGGGATCTGATCTCTCTCTGGGTAAATGATTTTGCGAAGTTGATGTAAGAGCAAAAAAAAAAAAAAACGTGTTTTATGGACATCCAATATTGACACCAAAGTTAGATATAATACTGTTGACAGCTGTTAATAAGGGCTCAGGAGCTGAAACCCAATTATGGTAAGGGTGGTTACATTTCAAACACATGCTTTAAGCTTTTAACCAATCACAACAGACTGGGTCAGCTAACCAGTTATGAGGTTTTTGGAAAGGCAGGCTTTAAAGAGACAGAAACTAAAACATTTCAGGCAGAGGGTGAAAAGAGGTGCTGCAGCAGTGTATGGTATGAGAAAAATACAGTGTTTTGTTTACTTTAAATCATGTAAATATATTCTTGCAGACCCCAAAAATTTAATTATGAACTTTTAAACTTTTCATAATATGGGCACTTCAAGAAGGTGAAAAATAGTGGCTGCAACAGTTACTGCAACAATGCAAAAAACATAGGAACAGGATGTCTATCAAATTAACTTGCATCACTACATTAGTCATTTAAAGTGTTCTCTATTAATATGTCAAAATAAACTTTTGTTTCTAAAAAAAAAACTATTAGAAAACTATTTTAAAAATCTAAGACAAACGGGAATCTTCTTAAAATTTTGAAAAAATGTGAAAATATACCCTGAAACCCAAGACCAAATATGGGATCATATGTTTGTTTGTTTGTTATGAAAATTATAGGTAGAGTGCTGCAGTGCAGTGAATGTATGGGAAGGGGGGTCGACTCCTCTCATTGCGTGAAGAAAGCGTGCTGAGACGTTTCATGTCGTCACATTATTTCCAGCCTAATTAGCACCAGACCCCCTGCTGAGCTGTGCCGTGACATAGCAGTGCGGGAAAGCCTTAGCATGACATCCCTCTCTTCAGCCATGTCAGCATCTCCTACTGAAAATGCTAACTGATAAACATACTATTTCAGTAATAGTATTTGTGAAAGAAGCTTTTTTCTGATGTCTTAGCAAGACAATGGCATGGTTTAGTACATTAGGATTATGGCTGCAGGTCTACAAATTCAAATCTGGCCAGCATCTGGAGGGCAGCACTAAATGCTATAATACATTTATGTAATGGAAGGTCAGACAGTGTTGACTACCAGAGGTGGAGTGGAAGAGAATGCGTCTGGACGTGGCATGCATGATAGCGTCTGCGAGTGATGACAGCAGGCTGGCTGATGCTCTAGGGAGTCTGTGAACCATTTCTCCTGCCCCCATTTTCTCTTCTGAAAAGGCTCCTGAGAATGCTGGCAAATTTCCACTGCACTGCAAGCACGGAGTGGGTTCAGTGAACCTGTGCACGGCAGGTTATGGCGGTATCTAGACGAGCTCTTTTGATTCTTATAGAGTCATGGTGCAATCTCAATAATTGTTGTTAGGCGAATTTTCATGGGAGAAATACAGTGATTTGAATTGGAATCCATCCAATTGGGAAATCCGTGTGAGAGTGAAACTGGTTCAAGTTGGTTATGCGCATTTGCTGCGCTGGCCAACAGAAAGCTGCTTGGTTTGAAAGTGACTTCCGTGTAAGTTGTGCTTCATACATCAATTCACTATTGACAATAGATAACTGACCTTTTTTGTATTAAAAAATTCTCTGAAATTTTGCTAGTGTGACCGCACCTCAATACTGATCATTCTAATTAGAGTTAGAGATTTGAGTTTATTTCATATACAGTGGGGCAAAAAAGTATTTAGTCAGCCACCAATTGTGCAAGTTCTCCCACTTAAAAAGATGAGAGAGGCCTGTAATTTTCATCATAGGTATACCTCAACTATGAGAGACAAAATGAGAAAAAAAAATCCAGAAAATCACATTGTAGGATTTTTAAAGAATTTATTTGCAAATTATGGTGGAAAATAAGTATTGGGTCAATAACAAAATTTAATCTCAATACTTTGTTATATACCCTTTGGTGGCAATGACAGAGGTCAAACGTTTTCTGTAAGTCTTCACAAGGTTGTCACACACTGTTGCTGGTATTTTGGCCCATTCCTCCATGCAGATCTCATATAGAGCAGTAATGTTTTGGGGATGTCGCTGGGCAACACGGATTTTCAACTCCCTCCAAAGATTTTCTATGGGGTTGAGATCGGGAGACGGGCTAGGCCACTCCAGGACCTTGAAATGCTTCTTACGAAGCCACTCCTTCGTTGCCCGGGCAGTGTGTTTGGGATCATTGTCATGCTGAAAGACCCAGCCACGTTTCATCTTCAATGCCCTTGCTGATGGAAGGAGGTTTTCACTCAAAATCTCACGATACATGGCCCCATTCATTCTTTCGTTTACACAGATCAGTCGTCCTGGTCCCTTTGCAGAAAAACAGCCCCAAAGCATGATATTTCCACCCCCATGCTTCACAGTAGGTATGGTGTTCTTTGGATGCAACTCAGCATTCTTTCTCCTCAAGATGAGTTTTTACCAAAAAGTTAATTTAATTGAGTTAACATGAATGATGTCTCAAATCAGGCAGCTTCCTGAAAAGATGTATGCTGTGGCTTAAGATTTGCCTGGCAGGTGATAAAACAAGCAAAAATCCCATAGATTTGCACAGCATAGAGTGCTGCAGTGATTATGTATTTTTAGGTCAAACAGGAAGTTAGCATCACCCTGGTTCAACCCAACAGGATTCTTCCAGGCTTGGATTATTAAAATAAGCTCTGTAGCCAACAAACGTTTATGATCCTTACAAGTTTTGTTCATCATGATAATCTTCAAAAATGAACACAACTTTTATAAATTTTGAAGCTTAAATACAATAAGCAGAAGTATAACGCTAAACGTAGACTATAAACGAACTACACCATGGTCACATGACTTCATCATCACCACCATTAAAGTGGGGTAAGCGATTTCTGGTAGCCAATGTTGACATTTGAAATCACCAAAACAAACACGCCCCTGCCCCTATTTTGATAGCTCCGCCCCACACATACGTACACAACCCAGGCAACGATTAGTTCTGTGAAACAAAGTAAAACCAATGTTACACCTTGTCTACACCAGACACGAGTGGCGCGGTGCGACAAAATACTATAGAACTCATTATAATCAGTGATGCTGTCTACACCATATATGTATATATATATATATATATATATATATTTATATACAGTATCTCACAGTAGTGAGTGCACGCCTCACATTTTTGTAAATATTTTATTTTATCTTTTCATGTGACAACACTGAAGAAATTACACTTTGCTACAATGTGAGTGTACAGCTTGTATAACAGTGTAAATTTGCTGTCCCCTCAAAATAACTCAACACACAGCCATTAATGTCTAAACCGCTGGCCACAAAAGTGAGTACACCCCTAAGTGAAAATGTCCAAATTGGGCCCAATTAGCCATTTTCTCTCCCCGGTGTCATGTCACTCATTAGTGTTACAAGGTCTCAGGTGTGAATGGGGAGCAGGTGTGTTAAATTTGGTGTTATCGCTCTCACTCTCTCATACTGGTCACTGGAAGATCAACATGGCACCTCATGGCAAAGAATAGGGTATACAAAAAATACCACTCAGGAAACATTAACAACTACTTAGCAACACCCTGGCACCCTCCCACAGCATTCTAGTATCATGGTGGTGAGTTTTGCACAGGCAAGCACCACTCATTTTACAATAAATTTTTCAACCTTTCTTTTTGAATCATCCTTTTGAGGTTTGTTTTTATAATGCAATTTTTATATTGTGTATGTATTATTCTAGGCATCTTAGAATCTCTAGAGCAAGAAACTCTTCTCTGGCAGTGTTATTAAAAAATTAAATGACTGACTCCAACGCTGTGTCCTAACCAGACATGATGCCATTAGATTCCAGTGACAGGCAAATTGTCTGTCCACACTAGACATGACACTACCAAAATACACAACAAATTCAATCACAAATCAATTAGCCAATCAGAAGAGCATTTGGACAGGCTTTCTCTGCAAGTGCGCTTCTGTCTCGAAATTCAGATTCAAACCATATTAACATTGTTCAAATTACATACCCAGTGACTGATACAGTGTTTGTCATTAAAATACAATTGCTTGTTCACTTTGGAGTTCAAAGTTTGAACTTTCTTATTTACTTAATTTTATTATTTTCAAGGTAAATTATTGAGCTGTTGCTTTGACAATTAATATTACGGTCATGCAAAAATTATATTTGAACTCTGTTCCCTGTTGCTCATACTGTAGCATATCATCATTGCGGCTAGTTAGAACAATAACTTGGAGAAATTTTTCATGATTAAGGAAAATATTTAATCACGTGTTGCAGCCCTGGTTAGAAGTCACGTCTGGTTAGGACATGCTGAAACTCATTGACTTAATTCTGGTGGAAATTGGCATTTGAAGTCCCATTATGTGACTGTAATTCACTGTTTGTTATTCTTCAGGCACATCCAGAATATCAGTGAGATCAAGACAGACGTTGGGAAGGCCAGGGCATGGGTTCGTCTTTCCATGGAGAAGAAACTGCTGTCCAGGCACCTGAAGCAGCTGCTGTCTGACCATGAGCTCACCAAGTAAGACCTATTGACTAGTTCTTTAGTGACATAGAAGGCAGGGTTATGAATCAGATGTACTGTTTGATATCAGAAAGTTAAAATGCAGGAGATGTAGCACAGCAAAGAATAAGACACCATTAAAAATTAAGATTTTTTTGTTTTATTATTAATGAGCCTTCAACAGTAAAGTGGCTCATCCTCACTAAAGAATTCTTTGTGGTGTCCTCTTCTGACTTGAAATGCATTTGAACTCTTTTTTTCGGGCTCTTTGCTCATGCACTTATCTTTCAACTGTTTCCTTTTAAAGCTTTTGTGTTTAGATTTGTACTGTATGGTTTCATGTGTTTGGATGTATTTGTTTGAAGGAAACTCTATAAGCGCTATGCTTTCCTGCGCTGTGATGATGAGAAGGAGCAGTTCCTCTACCATCTCCTCTCTTTCAACGCTGTGGACTACTTCTGCTTTACCAACGTCTTCACCACAATTAGTAAGAGTCACCAAACTCTCACTACAAACACAGTATACCATTAAAGGGATAGTCCACCTAAAAATCAAATAATGTTATGTTGGTAACCAAACAGTTTTGTTCCCGTTGTATTCCATTATATGTTTTGACCACACAGTGGAAGTCAATGGGAACTTAAACTGTTGGTTACCAAAAAAATATCTTATTTTGCATTTCACAGAAGAATGATCTATATTCTGTATTTTGCAACCTTGGTGATAATCAATATATATCTTGATACTGAAATGTTTTTCTTTCATAATTTAGATGAAAAAGACATAGCAAACACACAGATTCAGATTGTAAATATATATATATATATATATATATATATATATATATATTAGCAGTTCAGTACTAGATTTTAAAAAATTCAATTTTTTTCTTTTTTGGAGGAAAGTTCAGTGTCTTAACACTTTCAAATTTGTGGTTCATAAACAAACACGTTGCATTAAATTATCATAATATTCATGAGGTTGCTTACTAATATAACACTAGCATTATAATTGTGACTACTGATATCATGTATATTAAATAAATTAAAGGGATACTCCACCCAAAAACAAAAACTCTTGTCATCATGTACTCACCCTTTTTTTCTGTGGAACACAAATAGAGATTTTTAGAAAAATAATCCATCTCTGTGAATCCATGTAATGGATGGGTCCCTCAAAATTGATACTTTAAAAACCACACTAAACGAACGTGACTGTAACATACAACCCCAGTTTATGAATCAAGTTAATGAATCAACTGGAGTCATATGGCTTACTGTCGTGTTCGTTTTGTGTGGTTTTTAAAGCATCAGCTTTGATGGACCCATCCACTTGTATTATATAGACTCACAGAGATTTATTATTTTTCTAAAAATCTCTGTTTGTGTTCATCTGAGGAAAGAAAGTCGTTTTTGGGTGGAGTATCCATTTAACTCTGCTATCAAAAACCTCTGCAGTCTGCTTTTCTTCTCTTGACCTTGTCCTTGTTGTTGTTGTTCACAGTGATACCATATCATGTGGTCATCATTCCCAGCAAGAAACTAGGTGGCTCCATGTTTACGGCCAACCCCTGGGTGTGTGTGTCAGGGGAGCTAGCTGAGACTGGAGTCCTGCAGGTCCCCAAAAACACTCTGGAGATTACATTTGAGGTGAGCCAGTATATATCGACACACCTACATATTTTTGCCTATTACTCTGGATTCACTATATATTACGACTGGGTTGAAATATTTCTTGATTGGGTTGAAAATATTTCTTAATTTTAATAGATTCTCATTTTGATGAACAGATAATGATTCTTAGGATGCGTTCACACTTGGCATGTTTGGTTCGCTGTCAAAAATGCCAATGTGAACGCTAAGCGGACCAGGACCAAATGTATCATTTTCCTTTTTGGTCCGGACCAAATGAACCAAACGAACCGAACTACAAGTGTAAACACACCCTTAAATACAAAGAACCTGTGCTGTCTTCGATTGATGCGTGAACAAAACTTACTGAAACATTATTTTTAGCGTGCCTCCCATCCAGTAAATCGCAATGAGTGTTGTGCTTTGTTACTTTTGATATGAAACAAAGCCTCAGCTTTCAAATTCAGTCGATTTTATTACAAAATTCAAACAATAAATCGTGTTTTGGCCATTCAGTGACAATAAACTCAATAGTTAGCTGGAAAAATTAACTCTAGAAAGGAGCATTTTGCTAAATATAAGCACTATATTACATATTCATTGTATTTTTACTTAACCTGTTTTTCAGTGTATTTTTGCATAAATCTGTCATGAAAAAAATGTAAACATTCACTGTTTAAATGTTTAAATTTCAACAACAAATAAGTTTAAAGATTCAAGATTTTTATTTGTCACATACAGTTATATAGAGAATATATAGCCAGCAGTGAAATGTAAATTATATTTTTTATAAGTTATTATAATCATTTTTGATTATATAATAAATTTTTATTATAAAAACGTTTTTAAAAAGTCTTGTGTGCAATTTAAAAGTTTGATTACAAATCACTTTAATATAGTAATGTACTAAATTGTTTATTGTATAGTTTACAGCATTAGTTGAGAGAGATTGCTGATTGCTTACATATCCAAATGAATCTATATCAAATTGAATGAGATTGAAATCATCTCAATATCCAGCCCTACTATATATATATTGCTGTATTTTTGGGCGCCGTGCTAGATATTGACTCCAAAGTGAGTTCCTGTTGTGTTAATCTGTTTGGTCGAGGTTTGTTGATTAATTCTGTCTGTACTTTGCACAGTGCCAGAACCTGGGGAAGCTGACCACAGTACAGATGGGCCATGATAACTCAGGACTGTATGCTAAGTGGCTAGTAGAGTGTGTAATTGTCCGCAATGGGATCACAGGGCACACCTACAAGTGAGTACTAAGATTTAAGTAGCACCATAATCACATTATTCATTATTAGAACCCCTAACTGACTGCCGGACTGTTGTTGTGTAGGTTTCCATGCGGCCGTTGGCTCGGGAAAGGAGTAGATGATGGCAGCTTGGAAAGGATACTGGTGGGCGAATTGGTGACTAACACGGAGACTGATGACAGAATGTGCCGGACTCCTCCAATGCAGCAATCCCCTGGGATGATGCGAAGATTTGTCACCATTTCGCCAAACAGCAAACCAAGTACATACTTGGAAATCTCATAAAAGTCATATCTCATAGATTTTATAACTGCACTTATTGCTGGAGGATATTGCTGTTGTCTCAAGCACGTTTACCATTGTGTGCCCACTAGAGTTAAACACGGGCCAGATCCAGGAAGGGGTGGGAGAGGCCATTAACAGTATCGTCAAACACTTCCATAAGCCAGAAAAAGAGGTAAAGTATTATTTTTTTCAGTGAAAAGTTGCAGCGGAAAGGATAAATGTGAATGGAAACGGCACATATGGATGATCTTTCTTCATTTTTCTGTTGTAGAGAGGAAGCCTCACATTGCTTCTGTGTGGAGAGTACGGTTTGGTATGGGCTCTAGAGCAGGTGTTCCAGCATGGCTTCAAGTCTCCTCGCCTTTTCAAGAACGTCTTCATTTGGGACTTTCTAGGTAACAAATGCGGTTACATTCCATCAAAAAAAAATTGTTTCTTATTACTAAAAGTGTGTTTGTTAATTGCTCATAGTATTGTTCTAACTAGCATATTTTGGTCAAGAACTGCCCACTTAGACAGGAAGAGCAGCTTGACTGGCATGTATTAGAATGATTTCTGTAGGATCATGTGCTAAAAATTCAGCTTTGCCATCACAAGAATAAATCACATTTTATAATAAATTAAAATAGAAAACATTTATTTCAAATTGTAATAATATTTCACAATATTACTGTTTTTTATGGAAGCTTGTTTCCTCCATGGGATAAAAAAATAAAAAGATAATTGCAACTTTTTCTCACAATTCTGACATTTTTTCCTCACAGCATTGACTTTTTTAAACTTGCAATTCTGAGAAAAAAAAGGTCATATTGCAAGATATAAACTTGCAGTTCTAAGAAGAACAGTCCATATTGTGACATATAAACTCGCAATCGCCTGAAAAAACTCAATTAAAAAAAACAATTATTTTTTATTTCATGGTGGGGAAAAAAACAACAACACCTGTGAGATATAAACTTAGAATTATGAGAAAAAAAGTCTGAATTGTGAGATATAAAGTCACATTAATTTATGAAATTTTTTTTTTAATCTGGAAACGGGCTTCCATGGTTTTTACTGTATTTTTGAATTTCAAATAAATCCAGCCTTGGTGAGCATAAAATACTTTTTTCAAAGACACTGAAAAGTATCAGTTATTCCAAACTTTGTATACCACACTAGTGTGGAAAAAGCTCATTTTAATAAAAGCTTACAAAAATTAGTGTATTTCGAAGTGTATTTTCAAAAGGGCTCACTGAAACATAATGTGTTTCCAGACTGATTAAAAACACCTGTGTGCCCTTACTCTCAGAGGTTTTGTAAAAACAGCCAATCAGATTTAATCTTAGTACACTGAGAAAGTGCATCAGACGTGTGTATTTCGAAGTGTATTTTCAAAAGGGCTCCAGACTGATTAAAAACACCTGTGTGCCCTTACTCTCAGAGGTTTTGTAAAAACAGCCAATCAGATTTAATCTTAGTACACTGAGAAAGTGCATCAGACGATTAGTGCAAAAACTATGGACAGTTCGTAGTTTGAAGTGGAGACTAGGGGTTTGTTCAAACCTAAATCTTTTCAGGAACATGCATGATACCTTAAAATGTTGCCCATTTTTCTAAATCCTCTCATATCTATTCCACAGAAAAAGCGCAGGTCTGCTTTGAGAGTACAGAACAGAGTCAGATGACCCAGGATGAGAACTGGCAGATGAGAGTGCGCCATTTCTGTCATTTCATGCGCGCCATCAACAGCACACCCAGAAACATTGGCAAAGACGGGAAGTTTCAGATGCTTGTGTGTCTCGGAGCCAGGTTGGTCATTATTTACATTGAACTGTTGGCTATTTGAATTGAGGTTTGAGAACCAACATTTTTGGGGATCTCTAGAAATCACAATCCGATTCTAAAATGATCCTTGATCTACATTTTTCTTATTAATTAATGAGTTTACTGACTTGAACACAATTGCCCTTGTGTTTCGCTTCAAACATGAATCCTTACGCAATTTTATATACTTATTTGATGGTTTTGTTTGTTTGTTTGTGTGTAAATGGCAGTAAGCAGAATATGATTGTCTCTAGTGCACAATTCCATCGTGTATATATATATGGAAAAAACTAACCTCAAAACTGAATCTGATTTTTTCTAAATTATTGAAAAGAGAATCGTGATGCATTGGAGAATCTTTTATTTTTATTTTTTTTACTCTTTTGTCATATCGATCGGTCACATATGTGACCATGGACAACAAAACCAGTCATAAGGGTCAATTTTTTAAAATTGAGATCTATACATCATGAATAAATAAGCTTTCCATTGATGTAAGGGCTGTTAGGATAGGACAATATTTGACCGAGATACAACTATTTGAAAATCTGGAATCTGAGGGTGCAAACAAATCAAAATACTGAGAAAATCGCCTTTAAAGTTGTCCAAATGAAGTTCTTAGCAATGCATATTACTAATCAAAAATTAAGTTTTGATATATTTACAATAGGACATTTACAAAATATCTTCATGGAACATGATCTTTACTTAATATCCTAATGATTTTTGGCATAAAAGAAACATCGATCATTTTGACCCATACAATGTTTTTTTGGCTATTGCTCAAAATATACCCAAGCGACTTAAGACTGGTTTTGTGGTCCAGGGTCACATATGTTGACACCCATCTTGTCTTTCTGCTTGCAGAGATCACCTGCTGCACCACTGGATCGCACTTCTTGCCGAGTGTCCAATCACAGCACAGATGTACGAGGACATGGCGCTCTTAAAGGACCATTCTCTGGTGAACTCTCTGATTCGAGTGCTACAGACTCTGCAGGAATTCAATATCACTCTGGAGGCCTCTCTCGTCAAAGGGATCGGGATATAATGCCGTCTGAATGTAGAACTAACACACAGATCAGCGGGACCATGGACTAACTTTTTTTTATATGGAGAGACTTGAACAAAAGGACTAAACCTGGCTTGCGTTAAAACTACTGTCATGTTTGCCATATATTAAGTGCAATGAGCCTTTTCAGACGTGTCATTATTTTTATCAACAACGTTACTGACATTCAAATATGTCTATTATTTTGATCCATACTTTTCACAAAAGGTGAAAACCCCCACCTGTGCTATACCGTTTTATTAAAAGCTCAATATTTTTCGTTGTTGTTGTTGTGGACTGCTGACAATGGCTATATTTAAAAGGAAAACATGTAAGAAAAGCTGTTATTATATTTTCAAAGAAGAACAGTGTTATTTTGATATGTGTCATGTTGCTTGCTCTGTTGCTCTAATCTAATCCATACTGTCACAATGCAGAGTTCGAAGCAAATGATTTAGAAGTATGCTTTATAAGTACAACTTGTGGGGAATTCATATTTTTGCTTAAAAAAAAAAAAAGATAGGAAAGATGAGAAAAATGGAAAAAGGCTATTTTTTGTGACAATGCCAGGGACTTGTGTCATTTCCCTCTAAATGCAAATCAGTTTAAAGGGACAGTTCACCCAAAAATTACACTACCGTTCAAAAGTTTAAACTAATTAAGATTTTTTTTTAAAGAGATCTCTTATGCTCATCAAGGCTAATTGAATATATTAAAAAATGATAATAAAAATGATAATTTATTCCTGTTCAAAGCTGAATTTTCAGCAGCAGTCATTACTTCAGTTTTCAGTCAGTGTCACATGATCCTTCAGAAATTCTAATATGCAAATGTTTTGCTCATTTATCAATTATTGATTTATATATATATATATATATATATATAATTTTATTCAGCACATATGCATTAAATTGATCAAAAGTGACTGTAAAGACATTTATGTTACAAAATAATCTATTTCAGATAAATGCTGTTCTTTTGAACTTTCTATTCATCATAAAATCATAAAAGCAGCAAGAATGTTTCCAACATAGATAATAAGAACCATTTTTAATAATTGAGCACTAATAATACTTGATAATAACTGAGCACTAAATCAGCATACTAGAAAGATTTCTGAAGGATCATATGACACTGAAGTAATAATGTTCAAATGTACGTTAAAAATGTAATTATTCCAAACTTATCATTTACTCATCCTCATGCCATTCCAAACTTTTTTCTCTTTTTTTTGTTCTTCCCCATATATGAATGGCGGCCACAAATGTTTCTTGTCCTGTCTTCGTTCAATAAATGGGAAAAGAGCAGCTTGGACCTTTGTCTAAATATCTCCTTTTGCTTTCCACACAGGAAATGGGCGAACTGTCTTCTTGAGCTTATTGTGATCCCCTAAAATCAAATGAAAGTGATGCTCAAGCATATTTCACGAGATGGACTGTAAAAACGAAAAACAATCAATGCAGAAAGGATAACATTAACGTTTCACCTAATCCTTTCAAAGTACCGTAACATTCCCCATCTCTTCAGCCCTCAGGTCTCGACTGTGGCCAACTACAATGCCATCTGAAGTAGAATTAAATTGCAGCACAGTTGCTGTGTGTGTGTCTCTCTCCTTAGTTAAACCCCAGCATCCCCTCTGTTTCTGCTATGCAATATTTACAGCTCCAAAACATTGTTATTGAATATTGATGAAATATCATTCACCGGTTTTAGAGTGTAACATAATTTGTAGGACATAACTGGGAGAAGCACATTAAAGGCTGATATTCATGTGCCAATTTCATCACGACTATTCTGGTACCTGTCCAAACACAGCTGGCATGAGCATTCTGGGAGTTATTTTTTCTTGTGTTTTATCTCTTGATACATTTATAGACAACGCAGTGTAATGTAGTGTTAAATATTGAACAACCGTGTACAGTGTATAAAATGTATTAAAGGTGGCAATTCAATATGATTATGAAGTCTCGACTTTCAAGAGCAAAATCTGTTTGAAAAGTGTGTTTTTTTTGCAGCGCAATCAGTTACATTTATTTGAGTGTTTTAAATTAAATACTTGCATGTCTAATGACTAGTTTAAACAGCATTTTGCTCCTATTATGCATCAAGCTTTATTGTTTAATAGCCATATTAAGAGATTATATATATATATATATATATATATATATATATATATATATATATATATTATAAAAATGTATGTAATAACACCGTTTTAAAAGGAACGAGTGAATGCAAAAAGGGGGCTGAAAATAAGGAAAAATTGGGTGCAAACTAAATAGACTTAAATATTCATATACTTTTCAGATCTCTTATTGCTGGACCTTAAACGCATTACTTTCTGTAAATTAGAAATGTCAGCAACTTGAACTGTAGCAATGTGGAATTAAAAACATATTTTTAAAAATAAGAATGAGGTTCAAAGTTCGTGCACATTTTATGTGTTAAGTACCCATTTTAAGACTAATATCGCATATAGAAAGTGTATTATTTAACTGAATATACAGTATATTAATACCGCTTACAAAAAGGCGACTGCGACTCGATCATAATAAAAGAACATTTTCAGCAACATCACATTTAGGCGTGTTCGATCATTAAATATCATAAAATATAAGCTAATATAAAAGATACAGTAGCGTATTTCAAGCATTCGAGCGACAATATTGTGGGGAAATGAGTCCATTCACTCACATTCAAACCAGAACAAGAAGAACAATACATGCGGGACGAGATGGTCCTCGCTGCAGAACACAAGATCCAGGGGGCGTGGTTGGATCTAGACCATCTACCGTCTCACTCTCCACCCCCTAAATGGATCCAACCACGCCCCCTGGATCTTGTTGTTCTGCAGCGAGGGGCTACTGGACGGGACGCTTCTGTACTTCCCCGGATGCAACATTCTTAAATGGCAAAAGAGCGGAGTGCAGTGATTGGCTGAAATAATGTTTAACTCGGCGTCTACACTCCTTATATGGTCTTCCTCCGACAAACCCCTTCACTCAATGTTTGTACGCAGGCCCCGCCCCCACCATTCATCTGTGTATGTGTGTGGCCGTAGTAAGGCATGCGCAGTGCAGACGAGTAAAACGGACGGAATTCAAAGTTTCTGACGGTAAGTCCTTTGTTATTGTTACGAACTAACAGTTCGAATGTAGCACTTCGTTTTAATTGTACGTACTTGTCAGTCTTGGAGCGTGTAACATGTTGTATGTGCGGAGTTAGTGGTTTTACAGCTCGGCTATTTACATCAACAATGGGGCTTTGCGCGCTTGGATGTGGAGCGTGGCATGGTCGCGTGCTAACGGGCTAGCTGTTATTGTTAATGGGACGCGCGTTTTGGCGCTCTCGCACTGTGTGGAAGTTTAGACGGTAGCGTTCGACCCGTATTTGAACTGAAATATCATTCATGTGTGGTTTAGAAGCAACTTCGCCGAACATTTGATCGGAGAACCCACGCAAATGTTAATTTACGACAGTTCTCCGCTTTTTCTTTTGGTTTCCATGGACGCAAACGTGCTGCGAATGAACTAATACAAAAAAATTATAATAATAAACCAGAACACACTGTGTGTCAAATAAGACGGAGTAATTATTTTGTAATGTACGGAGTCTTCGTGAATGAGTGGCTCGTGGCGTGTTTGATGTGGTTTGCAGCGATGCGTCAAGCGCGCGGTGTGCGTTATGTTGTGCGTAACGCATATCGGCTGAGAGGCGTTTTTAAAAGTATTATTACCTTAATATTTGTCTTCCAAATATGCGTTTAGGCTTTTCCGTGTCTTAAACTCTAAGAAGAGGCGCCCGTTTAATTGCACTTTCGATTTCTCAACGGCTTCTGCTGTGACAGCATCACCTCTGGTCAAAATTCCGAAAGGAATTCTTATCGTGGTTTGAACCGAATGCAACCGATTGTAAATAATTCAAGAATCAAATAAGATTCGAAAACTAGAAGAAGAAAAAGGAATTATCCACTAGGACAGATGAAATCCCTGTTCAAAATCCGTTGTTATAATTTGTTTTAGGATTTTCCAAAAGTATTTCAGTAAGCACACGCTGCTGTTCATTTTTCTCTTGCAAGTCTAAGATCGTGTGTTCAAGGTGGCTGCAGCAAAGGCTTTTGTCAAACATCAAAAGTAGGTCATTGCAGCAGACGCGACGGATTTAGACGCGCCGCACGGTTCCAGACGCTCGCTTGTGATTCTGCGGTTTTTGCGTTACTTCTGCAACATTAATGGAAAGAGTGCAAGAAATGAATTCCTGTGACCGCCCCCTTCGACCGTGCTGGAGATCTTCGTTTTAATGACGCTCTCCATTCATGTCCAGAGCCCGTCAAGATGTTCGGCTTCCATAAATCCAAGATTTACCGCAGCAACGAAGGTTGTTGTATTTGCAAAACCAAGTCGTCCAGTTCTCGGTTCACGGACAGCAGCAGATACGAGGAAAACTTCAGACTCTGCTTCGGGTAAGTGTTGTGTTTTCCCTTGATGCCGCTTGTATTCCAAAAATTCCACAAGGAATGCTAGTTTTCCCTTGATGCCGCTTGTATTCCATAAGGAATGCTAGTGGAATTTCTGTCCAAATTTGGAGCTGGTCCTAATGAGATCAACTGAGAATCCTCTTAGAATCAAATAATATCATACCGAATAATCCCATTAAAATTGGTTCCCAAAAAAAAAAGAGGAAAATTATTTAATAATGGGTAATCAAATTCCAGTGAAATATTACATTTTTATTCCTTAATCTGAGTAATCGGTCCCGGCTAAAGCACATATTGTGATCTAATTGATAGGCTGTCAGAGGATCGGGTTGGAGACATCTGCAATGCTTGTGTGCTGCTGGTAAAACGCTGGAAGAAATTACCACAGGGCTCAAAGAAAAACTGGAACCATGTAAGATACCATTATGTTGTTTTTAATAGGATTATCCATTTCCTTACAGCCAATGTGAGAATAATATACGGTTTTATTTATTGTTTTCCCCTAAGGTGGTGGATGCAAGGGCAGGACCTGGCTTCAAGCTGACCAAACCCAAGAAAGTTAAAAATATTGATGGAAAGAAGAAAAATAAACTGAAAAAGCTTCATAAATTCAAAAGACAAAGTGAGTTTCACGTGAAATATTTTTTAACACCGCGTGTGCACTTTAAAATGAACGTTTTAGTAATTTTATTGGGTGTTTTTGTCATTTTGTTTTATTCATTTTCTTTACATTTGAATTATTTTAGTACTTTGTTTTAAACTAAACGAAAATGAGCTGCAAACGAAATATAAAATAGAAATGTATGTATACGCACATACATATGTTTTGTATTTTTATTGGTTTTATATTTTATTTTTCAGTTGCAGCTCATTTTCGGTTACTTTAGTATGAAGTACTAAAATAATAGTAAAAAAAAAGACAAAAACACAGACAGACTGTAACAATGCTATGGTTAAAAACCTGTTAATTAGTTAATGGTAAGTTCCATAATACTCAGTGAAAACCTGAAGTCTTTCCTGTAATTTTACAGTAAAATAATGGAAGTGGAAAAAATACATTTTACAGTTTTTGCAGATAGCATGTTAATGTTTGCTGTCATGTCTTTTACAGATTCGGATGCCCACAGCACCACATCCAGTATGTCTCCCTCTCAGTCTCCCAGCCACAGTAATCAGTCTGACGACGGGTCAGACATCGAGACCAAGCAGAGGCGTCCAAACCCATCGGGGTTCTCCTTTCTCGACCTGTCCTACTGGAAGAGGTATTCCTTTCCTTTTTACTAATGCTAAATTAAGAGTTACCTGCTAGTTGTTGAGCTGATAAATAAATAACACTGTACTTAATATGCCTCAGGCAAAAGGTGTGCTGTGGGATCGTCTACAAGGGGCGTTTCGGTGAGGTGATCATCGATCCTCGTCTCTTCAAGCCCTGCTGTAACAAGAAGCGCCCAGCTCTGGCATCCTCCCCGGACTCTCAGATCTCACAAACGCATCCTTCCCCTCTTCCAGAGGACATGAAGGAGGCATGGTGATCCAACTAAAACACCCTCCAAACTGTCTCGTTGAGGCCCTCATAGCTTTGTCTCCAGTGGTAGACTCTGGTATTTTCCCTTTGTTAGATTACAGTGTATGAGTTCAGTTTTCCCCTTGCTTTTGTATTTTTTATGACTCTTTTGTAAAATGTAAGTTTTGTACCTATTTTTTTTTATATATAACAGAAAATGAGAAATTTGGGCATTAGGACACATTTATAGGTCTGAGTTAGGAAATTAAATGTAATCCATTTTTTATTATTACTGAAATTTCTTTGGAGTTACCAGTGTTTTGTAAATTTTATTTTCCATACGAGTGCACCAAAAGACTTCTATTTGGCATTTAGTTTGACGGGTTACAGATGAATAATGTAAAGTTCTGTATCTAACATTATAGCCAAGGCATTAATGAGATGGGTGTACTTTTAAACAAATATAATATTTTACTCAGCCTTGCAGTCTTCTGCTCTGATTCAAGTTCAACTGTGGTCTGTTATATCACACACATGCATTTTCTGACTAGGATTCTTGAGCAGAATAATCACAATGTGTATTCACCTCAGCTGTGGTCTATAATATGGACATGTGCTTGTAAAATCTCTTTTTCTTTCTGGTTTGGCATAAAGCTGTTGCTCAGTATTTAAAAAATGGTTACGGGTTTGTAAATCTTTTTAAAACCAAGATGCAAAAACACATGATCTCAAGAGTATTTAAATGGTTATAATTTACATAATGACATATGAAAGCATGCATAATCAGTTTTGTGGCTGTTGGTGGTGTTAGTATTTTATTTTATTGTTGTTGTATGAGTGTTATAATACTGAAAGTAAGCTCTTACTGATTGATGAATTTCCGACCTGGCTTTACACTGTTTTTTTTTTAACCACATTTTTCTATATTGTACACTAAAGGTAATCAAAGATGATGCAGTCAATAATCAAGGTCTTTCAGCCTTGATGTATTGACTGCAGCCTTTTGCATGTTTTTTTTCTTTCTTTGCTGTTTGGATTAATTGAAATATGACAGAATTGCCTTTTTTGAGGGAAAAAAAGTTTAGCAATATTACATGGAGTTTGCAATTGGATTTGGAGGTTCAAGATTTCGGTGTATTATTTGAATGAATGTTTGTTTTTATTCACCAGCAATTCTTTGCGTCAGCATTACTGTTGACTTCAAGCTCTTCTTAAAATGCATGAGAGCAAATACAAGATGTTGATAAATTTCAGGGAAAAAATGTTTTTAGTTATTAGTGTGGCACATTCTCAGTCAGAGATTTAGCTGATCATTTCATTAAGTTAATTTGTCATTTTTAACTTATGCTATTTATTCAAAGCTGTCTGTACAATTAATGCTGTAAAGAAGTTTTTGTGCACTTTCTTTTATACTTTTTATAATATTACCATTGATAAAATTTTGTATCTCAATTTTCCTCACATTGGTATTTTCATAAAATTTTTTAAAGTAAATGTTTGTCTTGTTTGTCAGTGTTTTTAGTACAAGGTTGTTTTTTTTAAATTGGGGTAAAAAATTTTTGGAAAATTAGAGAAAGAAAAAAAATGTATTTTATTCTTCTGATAAGGACATTAACTATTATGAATTGTGTTTTCTGAACCCTAGGTGGTGCCAAAATTGCATCTCTGAATGCACATAGACGCTCTCATTAAAGTTGTACTTTAATTAGACAGAGGCTTTCATTTAACAGCAAAAACCCCCAAATATGATGAATGATGATGAATATGATTTTTTCCACCCAGTGTTATAACAATTTAGGATTTATTTTATAGCATTTTTCACAATGTGCTTTACACAGAGCAGTGTCATAACTGCCAGTAGGAAGTTGATAGAGTTTACAAAAATGTAAAACACAATATAATTGCAAGTGATAGATCAACACATTTAGAAATAAATATACTATATCCAGATTCCCTTTAGCGCCCCCTTGTGGTCCCCCGGGCTCTGCAGACCCCAAATGTGTAAAATAATAATAAAAAGAACTAGAGTGAATTTTTGATGTAGAGTAGAGGGTCCACCTTCAAGCTCCACTGGGTGATGTGACGAACAGCTGTTGGTTATCTTGCATTCACATATCCATTACTGTTGAAGCTGACCTGAATGGTGCCTTTTGATGAGCTGTGTTCCTCTTTCCGTGCTTGACATGTGAGAGTCAAATACCACACGAAAATAAAGACACCTAGAGGATGAAATGGACAGTATTAATGTCAGAGAATACAGGAGCTTCTGCTTCACATTGCCAATTTAGGGCCAAAAACCCAAATCAAATAAATAAACAACTGGCACTTCATGCAAGAGGTTTCAAATATGCATTGAAATTATTAATAAAAAAATGACGTCAACATTTTTATTTTTGAACAAATGGTCAGTCAAAGGACATGCTTAATTATCATATTTTAGTTGTAAAGGAAAGGGAATTAATTTTAGTGTAGACCACGCTCTAAAACTAAGTAGCTAACAAACGATTGTCCTGGACGTCTGTAAGTGGACTGGCAGAAACATTGTGAATCTTTTCAGTGTCTGCTGGTTTAAACGGATCTCGAGTCAGATTAATTATTTGTAGAGTACATCTAGTTTACACTTTAATGAAAACATTTGCAATTGTTCTGTAAAAGGTGTCATTATGACTATTTGGTCTGAGTTTTGGTTGCACTTACACAGCAGATGCCGCCAGTGTGTGATGTTTTGAGCAGTGTTACTAACTTAAAGGGATACTCCACCACAAAATGAAAATGTTGTCATTAATCACTTACCCCCATGCCGTTCCAAACCCCTAAAAGCTTTGTTCGTCTTCGGAACACAATTTAAGATATTTTGGATGAAAACCGGGAGGCTTGTGACTCTCCCATTGACTGCCAAGTAAATTACACTGTCAAGGTCCAGAAAATTATGAAAGACATCGTCAGAATAGTCCATCTAGTCCAACGTTATGAAGCGACGAGAATACTCTTTGTACGCGATGAAAACAAAAATAACGACTTTATTCAACAATTCGTCTCCTCTGTGTCTCTCTGCATCTCTGTAGCGCCATTTTGGAGAATATCTGCTGAACGCAAACACAGCACATTGTGCCCTATTTTTTATAGACTTTTAGAGTGTAGCATACTAATCAATACACTGCTTAAAACTGTAATTGTTTAGAATAGTTAAAGAGAAAATACCTAAAATGTTCATGTTTAAAATTGTGTAAACTGTTTTTAGTACAAGGTTGTTTTTTTTAAATTGGGGTAAAAAAAATTTGGAAAATTAGAGAAAGAAAAAAAATGTATTTTATTCTTCTGATAAGGACATTAACTATTATGAATTGTTTTCTGAACCCTAGGTGGTGCCAAAATTGCATCTCTGAATGCACATAGACGCTCTCATTAAAGTTGTACTTTAATTAGACAGAGGCTTTCATTTAACAGCAAAAACCCCCAAATATGATGAATGATGATGAATATGATTTTTTCCACCCAGTGTTATAACAATTTAGGATTTATTTTATAGCATTTTTCACAATGTGCTTTACACAGAGCAGTGTCATAACTGCCAGTAGGAAGTTGATAGAGTCAGTGAAAAAATGTAAAACACAATATAATTGCAAGTGATAGATCAACACATTTAGAAATAAATATACTATATCCAGATTCCCTTTAGCGCCCCCTTGTGGTCCCCCGGGCTCTGCAGACCCCAAATGTGTAAAATAATAATAAAAAGAACTAGAGTGAATTTTTGATGTAGAGTAGAGGGTCCACCTTCAAGCTCCACTGGGTGATGTGACGAACAGCTGTTGGTTATCTTGCATTCACATATCCATTACTGTTGAAGCTGACCTGAATGGTGCCTTTTGATGAGCTGTGTTCCTCTTTCCGTGCTTGACATGTGAGAGTCAAATACCACACGAAAATAAAGACACCTAGAGGATGAAATGGACAGTATTAATGTCAGAGAATACAGGAGCTTCTGCTTCACATTGCCAATTTAGGGCCAAAAACCCAAATTACAAAAATGTAAAACACAATATAATTGCAAGTGATAGATCAACACATTTAGAAATAAATATACTATATCCAGATTCCCTTTAGCGCCCCCTTGTGGTCCCCCGGGCTCTGCAGACCCCAAATGTGTAAAATAATAATAAAAAGAACTAGAGTGAATTTTTGATGTAGAGTAGAGGGTCCACCTTCAAGCTCCACTGGGTGATGTGACGAACAGCTGTTGGTTATCTTGCATTCACATATCCATTACTGTTGAAGCTGACCTGAATGGTGCCTTTTGATGAGCTGTGTTCCTCTTTCCGTGCTTGACATGTGAGAGTCAAATACCACACGAAAATAAAGACACCTAGAGGATGAAATGGACAGTATTAATGTCAGAGAATACAGGAGCTTCTGCTTCACATTGCCAATTTAGGGCCAAAAACCCAAATCAAATAAATAAACAACTGGCACTTCATGCAAGAGGTTTCAAATATGCATTGAAATTATTAATAAAAAAATGACGTCAACATTTTTATTTTTGAACAAATGGTCAGTCAAAGGACATGCTTAATTATCATATTTTAGTTGTAAAGGAAAGGGAATTAATTTTAGTGTAGACCACGCTCTAAAACTAAGTAGCTAACAAACGATTGTCCTGGACGTCTGTAAGTGGACTGGCAGAAACATTGTGAATCTTTTCAGTGTCTGCTGGTTTAAACGGATCTCGAGTCAGATTAATTATTTGTAGAGTACATCTAGTTTACACTTTAATGAAAACATTTGCAATTGTTCTGTAAAAGGTGTCATTATGACTATTTGGTCTGAGTTTTGGTTGCACTTACACAGCAGATGCCGCCAGTGTGTGATGTTTTGAGCAGTGTTACTAACTTAAAGGGATACTCCACCACAAAATGAAAATGTTGTCATTAATAACTTACCCCCATGCAGTTCCAAACCCCTAAAAGCTTTGTTCGTCTTCGGAACACAATTTAAGATATTTTGGATGAAAACCGGGAGGCTTGTGACTCTCCCATTGACTGCCAAGTAAATTACACTGTCAAGGTCCAGAAAATTATGAAAGACATCGTCAGAATAGTCCATCTAGTCCAACGTTATGAAGCGACGAGAATACTCTTTGTACGCGATGAAAACAAAAATAACGACTTTATTCAACAATTCGTCTCCTCTGTGTCTCTCTGCATCTCTGTAGCGCCATTTTGGAGAATATCTGCTGAACGCAAACACAGCACATTGTGCCCTATTTTTTATAGACTTTTAGAGTGTAGCATACTAATCAATACACTGCTTAAAACTGTAATTGTTTAGAATAGTTAAAGAGAAAATACCTAAAATGTTCATGTTTAAAATTGTGTAAACTTCAACTATTCATTACTGTATTAAACAATCTGATCATAGAAATCTTGTTTATATTACTTTCACAAATAAATTATAAATAAATACTTTTATGAACAAATCTAAATGAACATTTCAAATCATATTTTTTTCTGAGATGGACAGTCAGTTTGCGTAATCATCATTGGGTTTTTTTAAGTTACCTTATACACTAAAGGGGTTGAACACAAGTACAAATTCATATAAAAAATATTAAAGTGTTTTTTAACCAATTTAATTACATTTAGTTTCACAGAAAATTGTATTGTGTCGATTAATCTACATTGTGCATGCTACACAGTGACAGTTTTGTGTTGTTAAGTAATGATGTGATGGCGTAATGACGTCACAACACATTTAGCAACTTTTAGCAACATATCAACCTGCTTTTAGCAACTTCCAACTTGTTTTGGACATTTTGAGGGCATGTGGATGTGATGTGACAGGAAGTCATTGTCATATATAGGGACTGCTAAACAGAAATGTAGAAGTTTATTTTAAAGTGTGAAATATTACACACATGCACAAAATGTGTAAATAAATGTTTAAACATTTTTAAAACATTATGTTGTAATGCTATACTATATTCATGATTCTATACTAAGTTTTGTCTCACATATCTAACATTTTTCACTCCAAAGTACTTTTTTGTTGCAAGTGATGGGACATGATATGTACCCTATTAATGAAAGTGACAGTTATGCATGATTGTACCTCATTAACACCTGCTTTTTTTTTCAAATAACACTGTAATAAATTCTTACTCTGAAAACTGTTGAGAATGTTGAAAACATAGAGTGAAGAGAGACTCAAGGGGCCATGGGTGGAGAAAGCCAGGACCCAGGGCACTCCCAGAGAACAGCTGAGCCCGAGTAGAGACACCCATTCTTTCCATGCCCTCCTCCGATGGTCTTTAATCTGAAGAGGTCGTGATCTTAATTTGCGCATCTTAACCAGCATCACCCCCAGCATAACCATGTTAAAGAGCATCACCAGCCCGAGATAACCATTCACAGTAATGTAGCTCACTATCTGTGTGCTTATCCAGCATCTAAATGAGAAGAAGCCAATGAAAACACTCCTGTTACAGGCCTGAGAGATGATGAAGTAAAAGTGCAGTGCAATTTTTGAATAGAATGACCTTACAGAGGTGTAACAGTTGAGCCTTCTTTATCTGTGTAAAATGTATATTTGCCATACACTTTAGTCACACCGCATATCATCACTGTAATAGTGGGTACACCTAAAGGAAAAGATTAATACAATAAAACATGCTTATACATGATTCATTTAAATGTAATGATATTTAAAGATCAGTTCACCCAAAAATTGTCATCATTTATTTGCATTTAGTTTTTACGTTCAGGGATAGAAAATAAATAAACAGCTTGAATATTCAATCTCTGCATGTGGACATGAATTAAACGCCCCTTCCCGCTGATTGGTCAACCAAACATTAAATCGTGCAGTCATTAGATGTTTCCCAGTTCCGCACAACAGAATAATAGTCCTCCACTGCTACACTTGTATGGATTCTTAGTGCATTTATTTCAAATACAGAGTTCTGGCATGAAACTCTAGATGGCACAATCCAATAGGTCTAACTCAATCTGACCTAATGACATCATTATCACATGGCACAGCTGATTGGTTCTCTCCTGTGTCAGTAGCCAATGAGCTCGCTGCTCAACATTCAAATATATGACTAGTGTATGCCGTAGCAGTTGCAGCTTGCTTCAGAAACCCTCCACCTTCCCCAGCTCCACCTGTATAGATCTGCTACGAGGTGATTCATGTATGCTATATAGGGTTTATTTCATGTATGTTATATTTGCAGCAGCAATATTTCTTACAAGCGCACAGCAGCATGTTGTGGATGTATTGGCAGTAGCAAGTCTCAGTACTTGCTCTGCCGCAGCAGCGTAGCAGATCTATTCCCTAACTACCCTAACCAAGACCAAATACATTAACATTGTCATGTACATTACCATGCCAATCCCTCCGAGAGTTGTCATGACAGAACTATATTTCATCTCTTTATTTTCAAACAACCAGGCTAACGAATGGCTTGACACAAACCGTACCGGGGCAGAGCCTAGACAAGGCTTCTGTGTAGGCATAAATTCAGCAACCTACCTGAGAAATATTTGTTTATCTCATAAATATTAATTTACTAAGCATTTGTACCCACAACTACCCCTTAGCCTACATCCGTGGCATATCTCCTGTTTTATTCAGCTGACCAACTATCAAAATCTGTGTGGCAAAGCTGCGTGACTCACTGACAGCACAGAGCGAATGCATTTTGCATTGTAGTGGAGCGCAGACCAGTATCGATTTAAGTGTAAATACATAGCAGTCATAACATTTGTTTCAGACAATTATCTGTACTTTGGACAAGGGACGAATTTGAAATGATATAGATATGTAAAGATGTGACATTATTTCATATCAGTGTGGTTTACGGTAAAATCTATTATTATTATTTTTTTATTATTATTGTTAAATTTTGGGGGTAATGTTAAATAGCCATTATAAAATAGGATATAACTACTCTCAGTTACAAGAAGATACCAAAACCCTGAAATAACTATGCACCCTCGATGCACACTTCTGCCGAGGCCACACTGAGGCGAGCTGTGCAGCAGATTTCTACCCGACAGTCAAAGCGGCATTACGTCACAAAAGTGTGGACTCAGAAGAAGACCGCAAGGGTTTAGGGTGCGATTTGGGACAGGGCCCTTTACTATTTGTCTTTGAATCACTCACTCAAAGATGCGTTAAAAGACTCCAACTATGCGTGCTATGCTGAGAGTTAGTCGCACAGCAGTTCTGTGACTTTGCTTTGGAAGTTCCGCTGGCAAAGAAAACAAAACACAATTTTGTGTGATATCAGTTAATACTCAATATTAATTAAATAAACGCAGAGTATTGTCTAAAACAAAAGTTATGACTGCTGCGTATTTACACTTAAAGCGATACACTTAAAATAATACACTTCACGGTCCCACTTTATATTAAGTGGCCTTAACTACTATGTACTTACATCAAAAAATCAGTACAATGTACTTATTGTGTTCATATTGTATTGCAAAACACTTTTGCTGCTACTGAGGTGGGAAACGGGGAAGGTTAGGTACAGGTTTGATGGTATGGGTAGGTTTAAGGGTGGGTTAAGGTGTAAGGAATGGGTCAACAGTGTAATTATAAACGTAATTACAAAAAAATTGCAGATATTTTTCAAATAGAAGTACAATGTAAAACATGTATGTACACAATAAGTGCATTGTACCAAATGATCAATTTAAATGTAAGTGCCTAGTAGTTAAGGCCACTTAATATAAAGTGGGACCCACTTCACTACAGTGCAAAATGCATTCGCTCTGCACTGTCTAGTAAGTCGTGCAGCCTTGCTACACCATTTTTGATAGTTGGTCAGCAAAATAAAACAGGAGATGTGTCAAAGATGTAGGTTAGGGGGTAGTTGGTGCAGATATGAAGCAAATTAATATTTATGACATAAAATAATATATTCTTGCGTAGGTTGCTGAATTTATGCCTACACAGAAGTAAGCCTTGTAAAGCTCTGCTACGGGATGGTTTGTGTCAAGCCATTCGTTAGCCTGGTTGTTTGAAGAGAAAGAGATTAAATATAGCTGAAATAAACATGTTAAGAAACAGTACAACTGTAGCAGGGGAGGACTATTATTCTGTTGCAGACTGATGATGGCATGGTCATGGCATATTTGGTTGACCAATCAGCGGGAAGGTGGCGTTTAATTCCCGCCCACATGCAGAGATCCAATATTCAATCTGTTTATTAATTTTCTATCCCTGAACGTAAAAACGAAAAATAATTTTTGTTTTTTTGAAAAATGAAAAACTAAAAAGGTGACGTTTTCTTATTTTTCTGTTTTCAGTATTAAATAAAAAAAAAGAAAAAAAGAATGATTGGAAGATACCCTGACTGGATGCTGAATTTAAATTAGAATTTTAACTTTTCACTTTGGCTCAGCTCTTGAATAAGATTTTTTTCAAAACAATACGTTTGGATCTTCAAACCAAGTTAGTTCTTCAAACCAAATTTTAATAGGCTTGCTGACCAAAACTGCATGACATGATCGTTAATAAACCCTACAAAATCTAGCAAAGGTTTGTCTTTTTTGGAATGAGAGTCCAGGATGAAATCAGTTTTATTATTCCATTTTCTTAAGTGAAGTGAAAGTGATGTGTGGCGACCCACAGTGAACACACACACCCAGAGCAGTGGGCAGCCATTTATGCTGCAGCACCCGGGGAGCAGTTGGGGGATTCGGTGCCTTGCTCAAGGGCACCTCAGTCTACAAACTACAATCCCTGCCGGTACGAGACTCGAACCTGCAACCTTTGGGTTACGAATCTGACTCTGTAACCATCAGGCCACGACTTCCCCTTATAATAAACCATTTTAAGGCATGGTTTACTGTCTAATCAACTGAACTCAATCTTTAAATAGTATTTTTGAGGTTTAATTTAATATTTAGTGAAGTGAAGTGACATGTGGCCAAGTATGGTGACCCATACTCAGAATTAGTGCTCTGTTGACTTTTGATTTATTCATTAAAAATTTCATGACATTCCACGTTATACAGTAAATTCCATTTTTAAGACTGGATTTCTCAATTCCATCCACATTTTCCACAATCATAGGGCCCTAGCTGAGTAATGTTGAAATAGTATATAGCTACTGTTGACACCAAAATGTGAATTTGAACTCACCCCATCCCACAAGACTTAATTTAAGCAAGTGACTTTACATCGTAATTTGATTAAATGTACAGCTCGACTTTTGATTTATTCATTAAAAATTTCATGACATTCCACGTTATACAGTAAATTCCATTTTTAAGACTGGATTTCTCAATTCCATCCACATTTTCCACAATCATAGGGCCCTAGCTGAGTAATGTTGAAATAGTGTATAGCTACTGTTGACACCAAAATGTGAATTTGAACTCACCCCATCCCACAAGACTTAATTTAAGCAAGTATCTCTTGATGTAGATGTTGAAGACCCGCACCAGCAGCAGGTACAGGTGGAAGCCCTCAATGGCTGTCCAAGTGAAGGTGGCTAAAAGGCACCAGTGTAGAAGAAGTCCTAGAGCCTGACACACTGAATCAATGTCTCTCTGGCCTGAAAACCACACGCTGCACAAGAACGAGGTGTGCAACAAGAAAAGGGAGCCTGAGAGCTGCATGTGAATGATGACTGAATGCTCACATTGCTTCTTCCTGTGGGGAAGATGGTGAGAGATATCTGTACCACAGACATCTTATTCTGAAACTATGGGAAATCTGATTTAAAAATGAACTTACCTCAAGCACAGAAACATAACAATCATAAGGGCTGTAAATGCTATTGAAAGGGCAGAGCCAATGTATGAAATGTAGTTGAGAAGGACAATATGGGACTCTTCAGGAATTTCAGGATTCTTTCAGAAATATTAAGAACAAAAGAGGACATTCAAATGAACACTGCTAAACAGCCCAGTTTAATTTTAAAGAGAACATTTTAAAACGAAAAAGTTGACTGAAGAGAATCACATGACAAATGTGCTTACAATGAGCACTGCAAAAAAGCTCAGATGATTACAACTGCACACAAAGTCTCCACTGTCGATGGTAGTATTACAGCCATCAGTACGCCAGTTACCTGACAAACAGACACGCATGCATTCATTAAAGCAAAAAGTCAATGCAAGAACATCTATTCAAATGAGAACTGTAATACTGTATATGACATTGTTTTTCACACTCATTATGACAGTTACAAAATATACGGGTCAAATTTTTATCACATCACCTTCACCCAGCACAAGTGAAACCCCCCCCCAGTTTACCATTTCAGCAGATCTATCCTGGCACTCGTATCATTGACATCAACAACACAGCTCTTACAACTTTCACTCCATGAATAACCAGACTTGGGTAACCTCATTGCTCAAAAAAAAAAAACCTTAACCATTAAGTGGTTGAAAATGATCTTGTTCTTCCTTTCCTATCAAAACCCCAAGGGTTTGGCTGCGGACATGCACTTGCACTCTCAGACACCTTCGCTTCTGCAAGTGACTTCACTTGCAATCTTTTTTTAATTTAATTAAATTTATTTAAATTTTTAGAAAACCATAAACACTTAAAGTGCCCCTATTATGCCATTTCCAGTATTGCCTTTCATGCAGTGTGTAATGTAGCCAAAGAAGTTCGTAAAAACAATCGTACGATCTTAATATTATGGTCTGTTTCTCAAAAGCATCGTAACTTAAGTAGCACTTGAAAATCATCGTAGGTCTACGAGTGCTCTGGAATAATCGTAAAGCCCTAAGTGCATCGTAAAACAGATTTATGCAGTCACCTGCAGGACAATCGGCAGATTGCACCTTTAACTTTATTCAAGTGCAATGTGATTATAATATAAGGATTTGATTGTACTTTATTGTACACTTTATTACTCGTTTTTTATTGTTGTTGTTTTAAATGAATTTATAAATGAAAAATCATTAAAAAGGGCAGAAAAATAGAAATACACATCTAAATTAAATGACAACAAAAAAAATGAATAAAGGAAATAATATAGGAAAGACTGGGGGGAAAAAAATCTGTAAATGACTTGCTGACTTGCACAAAAACCAGCAACGTATTGGACCCGGAAATAATGTCTCTATATAGATATTATATACTATATAAATTTTTATATATATATATAAATTTTTATATAAAGTATATTATATATTATTGTGTAAAGTATAATATTATACGTATAATACAATATTATATTATATTATATTATATTACAGTGGGTACGGAAAGTATTCAGACCCCCTTAAATTTTTCATTCTTTGTTATATTGCAGCCATTTGCTAAAATCATTTAAGTTAATTTTTTTGCCTCATTAATGTACACACAGCACCCCATATTGACAGAAAAACACAGAATTGTTGACATTTTTGCAGATTTATTAAAAAAGAAAGACTGAAATATCACATGGTCCTAAGTATTCAGACCCTTTGCTGTGACACTCATATATTTAACTCAGGTGCTGTCCATTTCAGGTTATTCATATTTCAGAGAAACTCTAAAAAAAATATATATATATATTTAGGACTTAAAGCTGAATATATGGCATGCTACGTTTGTCAACTTTTCTTAATCTTCTTTATACACTTGCATTTTATTTTGTATCTAGATTCTGTTTGTGTTGTATTTCTATATTCTTATATTCATGAAGTCCATGCACGAGTTCTGAGTTTGAATAGTTGCTTTTTGTTTCTCATTCTTTTATTCAAAAAATCTCATTCAAATGGAGCCCATCCCAAATTGACAATGTACTCTGAGCTTTAAACATACCTGAATGGATTTAATTAATAAATTAGTGAATGATTATTGTTATTATTATCCCCCCTCAGTCAAATAAATACTGTTTACAATCTATTTCTGCCTCATATGAAGACTTCGGCTTCAGGAACTCAAGTGCAGATCCTCTTCTGCTAATCTTCCTCATCCTCTTCCTCCTCTGGTGAATATTCTTCATCTCCAGAGTCAGTGAGGTTCTGCTCCTCTTCTTCCTCACTCCTCTTCATCTTCCTCCTCTGCATCTCTTCCCTCAAATTCACCTTCAAGAATGAATGAAAGAAAAGAACAAGACGCTCTTAATGCTAATCTTCAGGGCTGTTTTTCCCAAAAGCTTCGTAAGCCTAAGAAGTTTGTAAAAACGATTGTGCGACATCTTAATGTTACGGTCTGTTTCCCAAAAGCATCGTAACTTAAGTAGCACTTGAAAATCATCGTAGATCTACGAGTGCTCTCGAGTAATCGTAAAGCCCTAAGTGCATCGTAAGAAAGACAGAGTTATGCGGTCACCTGCAGGACAATCGGCAGATTACACCTTTAACTTTATTCAAGTGCAATGTGATTATAATATAAGGATTTCATTGTACTTTATTGTACACTTTATTACTCGTTTTGTTGTTGTTTTAAATGAATTTATAAATGAAACAATTAAAAAGGGCAGAAAAAAATAGAACATCAAAATACACATCTAAATTAAATGACTGAACAAAAAAAAAAAAAAGACAAATAAATAATGTAGTAAATATACTTCAAAGATTTGGGGGGGGGTATCTACCTGTCAATTACTTGCACTATAAATTTTTATATATATATATAAATTTTTATATAAAGTATATTATATATTATTGTGTAAAGTATAATATTATACGTATAATACAATATTATATTATATTATATTATATTACAGTGGGTACGGAAAGTATTCAGACCCCCTTAAATTTTTCATTCTTTGTTATATTGCAGCCATTTGCTAAAATCATTTACCCACTGTATATCCGAGTTGTCTGGAACGCAGCATTAGGTTAACATTTCAATAAACGTTTACTACAATTACGAACCATTCTAAGCTGACATTTCAGCACTTGACAAACAGATAGCGACTCTTAAGTAGCACTTAAAGCACAGCTGCGATTGTGTTAAGTGCATTTTTGGGAAAGGCACGTGAAACAAAAATGAACGATTGTAAAATGACTCGTAGAAAACACTCTTAAGCTCTAAGATCAATCGTTATCGAGAAACACAGCCCAGCAAAGTTGTAAAGCCGAAAGTGCACGATAAATAAAGTTATTGTCTCCCAAAATAAAGAATCGATTTTCTACAGCCTAAACAAGTCGTTAGTAATTCGAATCCCACTTCTGTGACGGCTACACGTCACGGGGTAACACATTTGCATAATTCCCGCCTATGTTCTACGTTGGCCGGCATGTTCTACGTTGGCCCCCCCCCCCACAAACACGTCATTTTACTGACCACTGCTTCTCTAATTTCAGGAAGTTATGCGGGATTCACTAAACGCTTGCTCTTGAAAGATCGCTCAGTACCCTCTTTATTTGGACCAGCTGGCTCCACTGAATCACAAATATGATAAATAATAGATGTTTATATTTTCTATCGAGCGTTCAAAATACGGAACTATGGCAATGGGCGTATCGTTTCCGACACGTTTTCCGACACATCGTTTTTTTTGTACGCGGTAGACCAATCACAACAGACTGGGCCAACTGACCAATCAGAGCAGAGTAGGCTCACGGAAAGGAGGGTTTTAGAGAGACTGAATCTTAGAACTGCTTTGAACGAATCGTTTGAGAATCACTGGAAAATGAGGTGATATTAAATGCATATTTTGAGAAAACAAAAGGGTTTTTTGACCTTGCATGCATGTAATCCTATTGTAGGAAACTCCCAAAACAATATTAGGAACCTTAAAAATGGCATAATAGAGGCACTTTAATATGGCTTAAAATGTATTAAGATGGTGCTATTAAAAGATCAAATTAATACATTAAGCCATATTAAGTGTTTATAACTTTGCAAACTTTATAAACTAACCTTGAGAAACACTATATAAAAATCTGAAACTGCATTTCATGACGCATATATTGAGGGCCTAAATCCATCATGGTACTTTGGGCCCGAGATGGAAAATATTATTTCTTGAGAGTATAGCAGTAATACTTTCAAATGAAAAATTAACACACACACACACACACACACACACAGGTTTGCTTTTTTGTGAAAAGTGGGGACATCCCAGGCATAATGGTTTTTATACTGTACAGACCGTATATTCTATTGCCCTACACCAACCCTACCCCTAAACCTACCCCTTACAGGAGACGTTGTGCTATTTCAGATTGTAAATACACTCCATTCTATGTGATTTATAAGCATTTTGAAAAGTGGGGACATGGGGTAATGTCCTGAAAGTCAACTTCTCCTTTGTCATTATAGAAATGTTTGTCCTCATTTGTCACAAAAACGCGCGCGCACACACACACACACACACACACACACACAAATGCCACCATCTGAGAATTAACTACATTCTGGACGATGGTACATTTGTTTATATATAGGTTTATTTTTGATGGTGTGAAAATCATACTGACCTTTGCCATTTTTATCAAGATGCCAGTAGACACAGATTCCATTTTCACTCTGCAATAACAAAAGCACACTTTTACAGAAGTGAAAATAGGCAACTCATCAAAAAAAATCCACAAGGGCCACAGTGTGTTTTTACAATTATAGTGTGATGTGAAAGCATTTTACCTGATTGGTGTTTATGAATCTGAGTTGAACAGGCTGAGAAAGGTTGCGAATTTCTTTCACACCAAGCCAAACTCCCAACACACTTTGCTCATGCAATATTGGGCCTGACTCATGTGAGTCATTTCCCTTCTGTGTCAACACCACAATAACAAATGGTCCGAAGAAGAAACCACCAGGTTATGAAATGCATATGTTGCGCAAAGAAGATAAAATCACATAAAACAAGGCTTTGAGGGACAGACGTACAATAATTCTATGTACCTTGGTGTCTAAACTGCTGCTGACCCTGAAGAAAGTCTCGTTGAGAATAGACACAATCAAATCCACTTCCTTATGGTTTCCCCCCCGTCTATTGCTGCTCCTCTGTAATGCTTCTTCAGAGACGTGGATTTTATATCCTCTTTCTGTATCAACTATTTCCTGTAAAAACGGTGAAGGCACAATCCAGCGCATGACCTAATTGATCTTCCTGTACTGCTGACTATGTTGCTGACACTTGAACTTTATTTCTTGCTTTATGGCTTTTTTTTTGTCTTGTTAGGCAATCAGACAGTAACCACTGTCTTGAACCTTACCTCTGAGGAAATTGGTCTAGAGAAATAATTTGGAACTCCCATCCTAGGGACTTTAGATGAGCAATTTCTCATTCCTTCTTCAATACACCTGTTAAAAAATACATTGTATACCTCTAAACATTATAAAATATGACCTGACAGCAAAGCAACCTGTCCATATCATACATTTATGACATCTAAAACATTTTTTAAAATGTCTTTCTTTTCCCTTCTAACAGGGAACGTTCTCAGATCTTTGGCTGACATTCTAACAAGATTCTCTCAAAGTTATGAACAAGACTTTTCCAGTAACATTAACAGAACTTCCATTTCAAAGTTATCTTGTCTTTAATAATATTCTCAAAACGTTATTTATACATTGCTAATACTTACTAGTTTCAGATGGTTCAGATAACATTTAAAAGTAACTTTCCCATAATGTTTGCAAAATGATCAAATGGAACGTTCCCTTAATGTTTTCACCAAGTCAGTTAGCAGTTAGCAAAATGTTCTTAGAATATATTCTATATATGTTAGCTGGGTTGTTACAAGATTAACAAGATAACAAAACTCACGATGGAATATTAGCTTGCTCCGTACATATTTGTGGAACCATAAAACAAGGCACACCTGCAAACAAGTCATATCATGGGAGGTAAAAAGTATTGTAATGCATCCACATTTTTATCACAACCCTTTAATTTGTTATATTATACGTCACAACAGAGTAAGTGTGATTATAATCAACAGTCACTCTTTTCGAGTTAAAATTATATGATTATACTCATATTTCGGAGCAGAAATGTAAAAATGTAGAGCATATTCATACTCACATGTTTCATTCTGTATTGTGGAGGGAAAAATTGGAAATATCCAAAGAACAAAATAGTACAAGCCTCTCATTTCTCTCTTCATATGCTTGGTTCCCCTAGTGCGTGTAGCCACTGTCAGCCACTCAAGCTGGTCTCATGTGATCGCTGTGGCTTCCTGTCTAACTTAGTTTTTAACATCACTTCATGAAGAACCATGACACGCTTAACTGGAAGCTTTCTACTTACCAACACGAAACGTATGTGATGTTACGGTGAAAAGAAACCAGACATTTCGAAATGAATGACTAATTACACAAAAAAAAACTTTTAACATATATAAACTTTATACATATATAAAATGGCATTATTGTAATGTGTTTCCAATAGGCTCAAACATATTTCAGACTTATAGATTTATTATTAAATTCAAAAACACTAATAATAGAACAACTGCGCATTTACCATTCTTATTTACAAATCACAGCTTTTAATAGTTTTGTTAGATATGACAAGTAGGTTTCAGATTAGATGTTACATCATAGATTAAGGTTTTAGAATGTGTACAGCTACAAAGAGGAAACTTTATTTTTTATTTTTTTTGATGTACTGTTATTTAGTGTAAAGGAAGTTCTCTTGCAAAAACAATTAAATACATTTTTAAACGAACAGCCCATGATGAAACGTTCTTAAGCATTTTTTGGTTGCATGTTGTGGTAGGTGTCGTTTTTTAAAGTTTTAGTAAGAAAACTCCATGAGAGGAGCTTATTTGGAGGTGTCCAGAGTGGATTTAGACTTGGAATGAGGTGTTTGCGCTCTGTTTTTCCTCGTTGAAGCACACATCCACACAAAGATGTAAAAACCTGTAAACAGACAAACATGATGTTTCAGTCCACCATTTTTTAGTTTTCAAAAAGTTTATATTCCCCTTTTCTTTAGTCTTTACGTCACTGTATTCTTCTACTTGTGGTTTAACAGGGAAACAAAGAACCCGTCCTGCTGTTTTTCACATCCTCCAAGACTAGAGTTGTGACTTCATAATTAGACTTGTGTTCACCATAACTGTCCTTTGGTAGCAGAACAATATGCTAGAGTTTCGCATAATGACGTATCTTTGTGATGTGACTAATATTTCTGCCTAGTTTTTTCCGCTGGTCTTGTTCACTTGACCAGAACAAACCAAGGAAGATCACATCACTTTATCAATGACATGACGTTCATGACTTGAACACACCTCTTTTATGACGATTATTAAAATTACTTTAGATTTTTTTGGGGTGGGGGGGTGGGGAAGCATAAAGTCAAAAATGTCAGGGTGATACAATAATAATGATGAAAAGGCCTCATTAAAAAAATGAAACTCTTGAAAAGAAAATATTAAGTTGTTTGGTGTAATATTTTAGCGAGACTTCTTATTAATATTTGAAAAGTCAAATCCAAGTCATGTGGTTTGACACACAAGATCATGTGGTACAACCAACGTGCAGGAAAAATACAAATAAACCTGGAAATTAGGACTCTCCGAAGACTTATCATAGTCATGAGTTTATAATTAATGAAATTTCTAAAAATGTTGTTAACCTGTACATTCACATCTATTTAAGATGTAAGGCAAATAGTTTATACATTGTACCCAATGGTTAGAGTCAACTTTACATTTAAACTTGGATTGAAAAACCATTTGAAACCAACATGAACATTAAGAGTACTGTACATTTGATCATAAACTCTCTAGTACGTCATCAACCCACCTATTCTCTCTTGTACCCTGAGTAAACCTACCTTGCATTGAGTTTAAGATGCAGAATAGGTAGAGTATTGGGTAGTTGATATATCCAGAGCTGAAGAAGATCAAACCCCATGTTGTACCCTGGAGACACATGAGGCCCAGCACTGTGCCAGCATCCTTCCAAACTGGCATCTTGCCATGCCTGTTGCCAACATGTCGTAGCTTAAAGATCTGTCTGGACACCGTGACTAGGATTCCTAAGTTGAACAGGAATATGATGGAGAAGTAGAAAATGTTCACGCCGTACAGGACGTGAGGGTCTCTGATCCAGCAACTGTATTGGACGAAAGAAGGTTTTACAATGTGAGCAACCTGTACTTCATATGTACATTTGACTGCGATTGACCGGCAAAGAGTGCTACATAATTTAACAACATTTGTCTGTATCTAATGCAAAGTTACAATGTGAAGACTTACATTTGATTTGTTGTATTCGTATCAGATAATGCCATCTCCTTGATCCCATAAATGTTATTAGCTGACAGCAAGCCTCCAACAATAACAGCAGGGACTCCTGTCAAGAGGACAAGATCAAAGTTTTTTTTTAAACATTACCCTTTCATAATTTTTTTTTTAAATTTCATGTTGTTTCAAACCTTTATGACATGTAAAGATATTTTGAAGAATGTTTCAACAGTTTTTGTCTGTTGTCTTCACTGGACCCTTATTTTTAAAGTGACATGACATGTGGCCAAGTATGGTGACCCATACTTGGAATAAGTGCTCTGCATTTAACCCATCCAAAGTGCACACACACAGCAGTGAACACACACACACACACACACACCCGGAGCAGTGGGCAGCCATTCTTTTTCTGCAGCGCCCAGGGAGCAGTTGGGGGTTCGGTGCCTTGCTCGAGGTCACCTCAGTCGTGGTATTGAAGGTGGGAGAGAGTGCTGTGCATTCACTCCCCCCACCTACAATTCCTGTCGGAACGAGACTCGAACCCACAACCTTTGGGTTACGAGTCCGACTCTCTAACCATTAAGCCACGACTTCCCCCCCATTGGGAAGTCTTTGCAAAGTCTTTTATTGATCATCTTTGTAAAATAAAGCATGTACATACATATGGTACATACTTTGAAATAATGTGAATTGTGAAAAACACTATACAAATAAATTTGCCTTGACCTCACTTGACCAGCGGTTTACAGAATTAATGGATGGATGACTTTCATTATATGGACTTAAAAGTGAGATCTTTTTCAAAATATCTTCTCTTGTGTTCTGCAAAGTAAAGAAAGGTTTGGAAAAACATGAATGTGAATAAATGATGACAAAATGTTTATTTTTGAGTTGTTAATAAGTTTCGGGAATCACAGCAAAAAGTAACACAAGTAATCAACACAGATCCAGCCCATCAGTTAACGTCTTGACAAAAAAAATGCACATTTTAAGTCTCTCTATCCATAATATTTCTTTCTCCAGAAAAACATTTGGTCTCGTATGAATCCGGAGAGAAATGTGCACAGATCAAGCATAGTTTACAAGCGAAAACAGACCAGAACAGTTCTGTTTTGATGGGAGACGTCAACAGGGGATAGATTTTGTCACTGGAGGAGCGTTATTATGGATTATAGACTGGTATTTTGGCTTGAAGCGATGCATTAAACACCTTAATAATGGAATTTGTTTATTACAAACACGCAGCTTTTTGTTTCACACTGTGTTAGTTAATGGACTGGAGTGGTGTGGATTACTTGTGTATTACTGAGATGTTTTATCAGCTGTTTGGACTCTCATACTGACGGCACCCATTCACTGCAGAGGATCAAGTGATGTAATTCTAAATTTCTCCAAATCTGTTCCGATGAAGAACAAAACTCATGTACATCTTGGATGGCCTGAGGGTGAGTACATTTTCAGCACTTTTTTACTTTAGGGTGAACTATTCCTTTAAATTTAATTTTGAGATTCAAATTTTCATCGTTACGTGAAGTATCCCTTTAATGCATCCTGCATGTCTATCATGGCTGCTATGGGTTCCCTTTCATGGGAACTTCGAACTGCGTCCTCTAGGGGTCGCTATGGGGAACGCCTCGTCGTGACCCGTGTCTGAAGCATACATTGAAAAAACACCAACTCGTTGGCCGGCGACAGCCATGACGTCACTACCGGTGCGACTCCAGTATAAATCGGCGCCGGGAGCTACACATCATTCACTTCTTCGTCTGAAGCTTGCGTCCGCAGCATGGCAAGAAACCTAGAGGACGCAGTGTCTCGTTCCCTACTCAGGGAACCATGGTTACATAAGTAACCTGAGACGTTCCCTTTCATGGGAACTTCGAACTGCGTCCTCTAGGGGTCGCTATGGGGAACGCCTCGTCGTGACCCGTGTCTGAAGCATACATTGAAAAAACACCAACTCGTTGGCCGGCGACAGCCATGACGTCACTACCGGTGCGACTCCAGTATAAATCGGCGCCGGGAGCTACACATCATTCACTTCTTCGTCTGAAGCTTGCGTCCGCAGCATGGCAAGAAACCTAGAGGACGCAGTGTCTCGTTCCCTACTCAGGGAACCATGGTTACATAAGTAACCTGAGACGTTCCCTTTCATGGGAACTTCGAACTGCGTCCTCTAGGGGTCGCTATGGGGAACGCCTCGTCGTGACCCGTGTCTGAAGCATACATTGAAAAAACACCAACTCGTTGGCCGGCGACAGCCATGACGTCACTACCGGTGCGACTCCAGTATAAATCGGCGCCGGGAGCTACACATCATTCACTTCTTCGTCTGAAGCTTGCGTCCGCAGCATGGCAAGAAACCTAGAGGACGCAGTGTCTCGTTCCCTACTCAGGGAACCATGGTTACATAAGTAACCTGAGACGTTTTTTATGTTGTTATGCATTTTGTCTTGATGCTCACCCCATCCGATCAGGGACAACTTGACCATGTAGTGTCTGATGTAAATGTTGAAGACTCTGATGAGAAGAAGGTAGAGGTGCAAGGCTTCAATAGCCATCCAGGTGAAAGAACACAGCAGGCTGTAGTGTAAAGTCACAGCAATAAACACACACACTTCTTTCACTGTCAGTGTGGCAGCCCACTCAATGAGCATGAAGCTCAGGTTGAGGAGAAACAGAGCGCCGCTCAGAGACACGTGGATGCTGTTGGACACTTCTGCCCTTGCATTACTGCAAAAACACATATAATCTTTATTGAAAACTCAATTTTTATATTAACAATAATGTGAATCAAAGCACAGATTATATACACATTTATATGAATAACAGAAGGAACAGCACCTGCTGAAAATGAACGACAAGACAGTAGAGGCAGAAAAGAACGCAGACAGACCACAGCCTACATAGCTGATGTACGACAAGATTTCCCAATGCTGTCC